CAGGGATCGAACACCCGATCTCCAGGCTAGCGAGTCAGCGTCATACCTACTTAGCCACCATGGCCCCCCATTAATGTTTCCATAGGGTAGTATATACAAATATATGTTCGATTTTGGCACTTATCTCACGATAACATTTTGGATTATAGCCCCTGATCGTATGGAAATCGCACACATAGCATGTGGGTCACAATTTTTATTCGATTTATTTTAAAACTAAAATTGTATGTTATATCCGAAAGAACTCGAATAGGTTCAATTTTGACACATATTGGACCGTTATTTCCTGGATTTTAGCCCCGAAGAGATCATAATTTTGATTCTTTTCCGAAAACATTGTGAACGCGGCAGGCTATAGTTTTTAACATTTTTTTTTTATCAAATTAGGTTATGGCCCATTAGCCGAAAACCCCTTCAATATCCAACCTCCTGTAAAATATAAAATATTGTTTATATACCAAAACAAACATAATAAAAACTTAGGATAGTTTACTTTTGCACGTAAAATACTTTATTTTTTCTTTTAGAGAAAAAAATAGCCTATTTTTTAAAAAAAAAAAAATGTCGCGTTTTTGGGTTATATAAAAAGGCACAACTTCATATGTCCTCAATGGACCACCATATAATAAACAGCGCCACCTGTTACCATAATGAGAGTTAGAATTATGACTTATCATAACGGATTAAAAGGGAGTCATAATTTTAGCGCACATTATGCTCACAGATGGCGCTGTTTATTATATGGTGGCTCATTGGGGACATGTAAAATCTCGCCCTTTTCATTACCCGTCAGACATGACGACATTTTTCTGTCAAAAATACTAAAATATTTTACGTACAAAAGCAAATTATTCTAGATATTTTTCAGATGAATAAATAGGCTACTTTTTCGTGCATTTGCCCTAATACGGCCTTATCGATTGATTTAGTCTCTCTTTTTTTGCAATATTCGTTCTCGATATTTTTGAGAGAAGTATTGGCTATTTTTTCCTCTAAAGATAAATAGAATATATTACTCACATAAGTAAATTATTCTGATAATATTTAAGTTATATAGAAATACACCAGTAGAACAAAGTTATTGTGTGTGCTTGTTTTGGTTTATAAACAATATCTTATTTTATTTTAGATTTAGATTGAATTGAGAAACAGGAAATGATAATTCCGATATAAAGATAAAGCAAAGCGCCTACCCCCCCCCCCCACACACACACACCAAACTTTGGACTGATATTAATAAAATCAATTCAAGCGGCTAATCCGATGATTTGGAAATTTAACATACATTATGCAAGAGCTGAATCTGCCTATTGCAGGTTTTGCACCACTGAAAAGGGGAAATAACGCCGGAAAACCCGAGGGACTTTCTCTTCCAACACCGGGAGCGAACCCGAGACCGAGTCGGGACATACTAACCGAGCCACCACGCCTCACGATGATTTGGAGACTTGATCCGATAGAAAGCTAAAATAATATCAAACATACTTTACTTGTGTGCGAAAAATATTTCATAAATTTGAGGGAAAAATTAAAGATACGCCTAACTTATCATTACCTATATATTTATTTATTCACTGCATGACGTAATGAGTTCTTTCTATATATTTTATTGTTCTTTTAGAAACAAAATATGCCAAATCAATCGATATAGCAGTATATTGGAAAATGCACGACAGGGAAGCCATTTTATATATTTTAAAAATATCTACAACAGTTTGCTTTTGTACATTTGTACATAAAATATTTTATGATTTTTATCTGTCGGGTTATGAAAAGTCGAGATTTTAATGTCCATAATCAGCCCCCATACAATAAATGGCGCCATCTGTTACCAAAATGAGGTTAGAATTATGACGGCTTTACCGCGAAACATTTTTGAAATGTCAAAATGTTAACGAAACTATACAGACTATAATAAATTAAATGTAATAATGGAAATATAACAAAATACAAATTCTATCTGCAATATTTAAAAAATAAGTTATATAAATTAGCATTTTTACATGTGTAAATAGCCAATTTAACATGTGTTAAGAACTTACATGTATAGAAGTAAGCATATTAGCATATGCATTACTAGGTTAGGAGTTAGAATTATGGGGGAAATTCCGCTCCATATTATATCTATCTATGATACTGGGCCCTGTTTCACAAAAACTTAAACTAAAATCACTAAAATAGATTTTAACTAAAATCAAACTGAAATTTTAAATTTTATGCGTTTCACAAAGATCGATTGTAACTTAAAATGCAATTTTAATAGATTTTAAGTTAAAATTGCTTGCGCTCGCGCAGTGCACAATTCCGGTGAGGGCACATAGGGTATGAGCATACACGCTTCGGAACTGAAAACTGTTGCCAGGTTGAACTAACCGTTACAATACCAATGAGGAGGGTTTCATACGTTGTTACAATGTCTGCAAATGGTCAGTCAATCGTAGAGAGATGAAATAAAAAAGTTTATTGTGTGTTTTTTGTTTTGAAATGTATCAGTTGGTTGGCCTTGAACTTGCATGTCGCTTTCGTGACCTTGGCATTTGATTTACTCGCAGGCTTCAATGGAAATAATGCGTATCGATAAACTAAATCGCCTGAATTTCGTAGTTTTATGGTATTTTGGATAACAGAAACTACTGAGAAATTGTCACAAACATGTGATATTTCTGACTCAAACGATTAATCTAGACCAACCTATTGTCGATATTTAAAAGTATTCAATAATTTTTAAACTAATACACGAAATAACCAATGTTCCGGTGATGCCTAGATTTGAAATGTCAGTCCCATTGACCCCTTCAATAAAAATTTGAAAATGCCAAAGTGCCACACTCCTTATTGGATAATGCCTATCTGTCTTATTAAATTAAAATGATTTTTTCCCAATATAAAATACCCTTGGCTCCTATATAAATCATCATAACCCCAAAGCCGTAAATACTTTGCATATGGCGTATCTATTATAGGACTGACGGGGTTTCGGTTCCCCGGTTGTACGTCCAACCTCTTGGGATTTCTCCTCCCAAGCGAATTATTCAAATAAAATTGAACCATGTTTTAGTCCCGAAAAGCCCCCCCCCCTCTCTCTGTCTCTCTGTCTCTCTCTCTCTCTCTCTCTCAATTTTAAACAATTGTAGGCCTACAAAAATATTTTTTTTTAGAAATTAGATAATGAAGTGGGTTTAGATTTTTTTTAGGATTTTTTTTTTTTTTGTCTATTAATTATTTGAAAATAATATTATTTATACTTGAATCATGGTAATATATAAAATAGTAACAAAGAGTTTTGTTTACTGGGGTTTTGAGGAATTTTTTTTGTTCTTGTAGTTTTAATTTAGGGCGTCATCTAATTGCTTATATTGCCTTACAATAAAATAAACGGGTGGGCCACAGCTATATTTCCAATGCAATGAAAAAAAAAAAAAATGGAAATTATTTTTGTTAATGATAGTATGTTTAAATTATACAACCCGGGCCATTGGCAATATTATCATTATTCCAACTATATCCATATGTCGCAATAGATCCCACAGGGTAGCTCTAATCAATGTTTGTTAATGTCGTGATTTTAAGTTAGGAGAGGGTGACGGCTGTCCTAAGTTAAAATTGTTTTTAGTTAAAATTTTCCCCTCAAATAGCTTTGTGAAACGCCACTATTTTAAGTTAAGATAGAATTTTAACTTACAATTTTATTTTAGTGGATTTTATTTAAAATGCTTAAAATCGTTTTGTGAAACGCATCTATCTTAACTTAGGATGGAATTTTAGTTTAAGACGATATTAAGGAGATTTAAGTTTTTGTGAAACAGTGCCCTGGTCATAAACAAATTTTCATCACTCAAAGCTCCTTCTTTTGATTTACTCTGTAGAACTTTTAAAGGTACTTTAAGTCTTACATTATTTTCACCAGTTTGAATAAACTGAACCTTACGAGATGATTCTCGTAACCTTAAATTACATATTCTATAAGCACTTTCTTGTGCAGAAATTTGATACAATGCCGATATGTACTTGATATTTTCTTTAAACTTTCTTTTGCTGTCAAATTTCCGTCTTTAGCCTCTTCTTGCGCATCTGATAAAACCAAATCCATTTCACTTCCGATTTCGATATATATGAAACTATATAAACTATACAAGAATAGGCATCAAATACATAATGTATATCGATGTTTACATCCCAAGCTCTCAACAAATTTGGATTATAAGGATTTATCCATACATCTTTCGGAGTTCGTTTTAATATAACATTATTTCTCTTTGATGACACCTCACAAGCTTTCTGAAATAATTCCTGTGTCATACCAAGATCATCGTATATTTCATCAATAGAAGTATAATTTTTCTCTTCATCTGATAATGCTTTCCATAATGCTCCTAGTAGACTTTTTGCTGTGTTCTGGGTCATTTAATCATTGTTACATGTATTGTCTCCATTTTCATCTTCATTTTGTTCTGGGGTATTTATATCATAATTATCTATTGAAAGACATATGAAACTTTGTTTTGTTTTTCTTACAACTCTTTGTATGTTTATAACTATGCCTTTGCACACTATTAACAATCTCGTGTAACTCTGGGTCATTGGCGCAGGACGTTAGAATGGGACGAAAAACCGAGATCCCGTGTACACATTGGTGTGCACGTAACAGAACCCTTGGCTGTTGCAATTCCATATAAGAGTAGGCCGTAGCCCCGCTTTCCGGACAAAATTTCCCCCATAGTACACTGCATGGCATATGCTCATCTTCATTTGACCAGTCGGTGCAGGAAAGTAGGACGTTCAACCTCATTTCATTTCATTTCATTTGTTACTTTACGTGAACAATACTTCATGTAACACCACTTTTGACACCACAAATGCCAGTCCTATAACACGGGAGACAACCCCATTTATTTAAGCTGGAAATCGATAATGGGACAATTAATAATGTACAGCAATGTCTCGGTGTTTATTTCTTATATATCGACCTGTTTACGGTAGTTACCGATCATGCCTGGTTACTACAAGCCACGTTTTAAAATGGCGACTCTATATTGGAATTAGGAAAATGTGATGTTTAGCTTATAGGATGACATTCAATTGATGCTTTTGGTGCAGTTTTATAGAATATGTATTTAAGTCTGCATTAATTCCATATCGGTAATGTTTTATCTAAACATAAGAAAACGGTGCATGCTGTATAGAAAGTATATATTAAGTATGGCGTCTGTATTCCTTTGAATTCTCGTCGCCAATTTTATGTATCTTAAATTGTAATTGTTTTTTTTGTTTTTTAAAAAAATCCAACATAATATAACTATACCAATAATTAATCCAGTTTTAAGTACAACTTTTTTTAAATATATTTTCAGATAATTCACTCCTTGTTATTGTGACCGTATTAGTTGTCGTCATGATTGGTTCTATTTTTGGATTTTTTCTCTTCTTTAGGTAGGGTAAAGATTCATATTCTTAAAATTCCATAATTATTACATAGCTGATAGTACAGAAAACAAAAGAATTGCAATTGGTCCAAGACAATGTTTAAGAAGCTTAATTTTATATGGATCTTTCAAATTGAAAATATTCCCATTTGAAAATTTAAACTAGGTGTTTTTGAATGGGTGCCCCCCCCCCCCCACCAACAACCACCAACAACAACAACTACCTTTCTACCCATTCACACTTTCCATGGTGGCAAGAATAATTTAAATGAATGTCTTCTAAATTGTTTTAAACCGGTTTTGAAATGATTACATGGGTCATTCCATGTCAAGTGGACAAGTGCTTGTAAAGTGATCCCTCAGAATATTATGAAAAAAATATATGTTATAGTGTATACAAATTTCTGTAAACCTGCAAGGTTATATGACTCTAGCATTAATATTGACTGAGATATGGCCTTTTGAATAGTTAGACAATATCTTCTAGTTAGACAATATTCTTAAAATTATGGGGTTTGTAAGGGTCTGTTAGAGAATATTATATAGATTAAGAATTCAGTATGCAAAACAAGTACTGTCAATTGTGTACGGAGTGCCCTAAGCTCCAAAATCTGATACTTGTGCAAAAAAAAAAAAAAAAAAAAAAAAAAAATGTAGACATTTTACTACAATATATTAGAAGTTGTTACTTATCACATGTATAATCTATCAATGGGTATTGTTTGAACAGACATTATTAAAAACCATATCTTTGTCGCTTTCCTGTAAATTTTAGCTTTGAAAATCGACATGTAGACATTTTAGTACAATATATTAGAAGTTGTTACTTATCACACGTATAATTTATCAATGGGTATTGTATTATTTGAGGGGGGTTTGATGGCTGAATGGTTAGCGTGCGCGCGCTGTATCATAAAGTCTGTCATTGAGTCGACTGGCGTGGTTTCGAATCCCCGGTTGTACGTGACAAGGAGTAGGGTCGCCTGTCCAACCTCGTGGGTTTTCTCCGGGTCCTCCGATTTCCTCCCACTGCTAAAGACCCCTACGCGCAAGCGAATTATGTAAATAAAATTAAACCATATGTTAGTCCCGAAATGACCTAGTTTGTGTCGAGTGGCCGTTAAACTCCATCTCTCTCTCTCTCTCTCTCTCTGTATTATTTGAACAAACATTATTAAAAAGTAGCTTTGAAAATCGACTCTCAGGAGAATAGCAAAAAATCACTCTTTTTCAAACGCTAACCATGTATAGGAGGAGCCTTCCATGAAAAAATATGAAACTTTCAAGAATATAGACTGACTAGAAGGAATAAAATCAGATCACAAAAATAGAGTCATATAATAGTAGTTTGAAAACCTGCGAAAGGGTACCGGGATTCAAATGGTCATATGTCAGTGAATATTAATGCTAGAGTCATATAACTTAGTAGTTTTATATGTCTGTATGTACTATTACATATATTTTTTTCATAATTTTCTGAAAGGGTCGTTTCACAACTTTCTGAGAATTTGGCCCACTTGACATGGAATGACCACATTTCGGTTAGTTTACGTGTATAAGTGTGGTCCCCTGCACTTACTAGTCCGGTAACAGGTCGACAAACCTGTAAATATAGTCCACCTAATGTTTTTGATGGATTATATATCTTCAGTATGTGTAGATTTGGGGAAATAAAAATATTCAAGATGGCCGCCATAAGGCATTTTCTGGTTATTCAATGGGGTAAAATATGTGACAGATTCTCTCGGACTTCGGTTTAAAGATGGTTTCTACAAGAATTCGACCCGCTGAATCCAATGAGCTTGGGGATTCCTCCTAAAATTGCAGGCTACTTCCGCTAGCGGACCAAATTCAAAATGGTGACTTATCAAAAGTTCGCTAAAAAAGTGTGAAATATATGGAAATATAGGTTTTGGGTGTAATATATACTGAGCGCCATAGAAAACGCATCACTTTTTTTCTCAAATATTTTATTACTAGGTGGTTTTGTATGTATAATATTATGCAATACTATGGACTATTGTTTCAGACAATGCCCCCAAACACAAAAAATATCGGCCCGTGTGCAAAAAAAAAAAAAAAAATTGCACATGAAAACCCCAATATTCACGTTCAGCATTGTGTGTGACCCCTTTAAAAGCATGTTTTCAACTTAATGTGCAGTACATGAACTGTGAAACGTCAATCTGTCGTAATTAGTTCTTGAACGTGTGAAGGAATCGAGCTAGAGAAGTCGGAATGAAGCCATGGGAATGTCCAGGGCTGGCATGTCTACACGTGCTATTGCCAGACACTCCAATTGTCATCAGTCCACTATTGTAAGGTTGGTGGAACGTGTTCGAGTTACTGGATCAACACGTGACTGTCAACGTCCTGGTCCACAACGCGTTACAACCCAGTCTCAAGACCGCTACATCCGGGTCACTCATCTGCGTGACAGATTCCGCCCAGCGACTCGAACAGGTGCAGCAGTCGTCGGAAGACAAGGACCAGTAAGTGACAACACCGTAAGACGTCGTCTAAGAGAAGTGGGACACAGTGCACGACGACCTTATGTTGGAGCTATCCTCAGGGATCATCACCGTCAGCGGCGTTTGATATGGGCTCAAGGACACCAGACATGGAGAAGAGTAGACTGGCAAAGTGTGCTCTTCAGTGATGAGAGTCGCTTTCATCTTTATCACGCTGATGGCCGTCAACGTGCGTGGAGACGTCTTGGGGAACGTCTTTCAGACTGCTGCGTCTTCGAAACGGATCGATGGGGTGGAGGGAAGTGTAATGGTGTGGGGAGGCTTCACATTTCATCACCGGACCGCCCTACACATTTGCAGGGGTCGCGTTAATGCTGTAGCCTACCGTCCGTGATGATGGCCCGTGGAGGACACACGCGCTACTGACATCTGTGTCGTACTTTTGGTTTTGACCCCTCTGACTTTGTACCCTTGATTACAGATTAAACATTCATAAGTGTACAAATGTGTTGTTATTGATGTGTTCCCATTTGAATATTGTTCACAATAAGAAGCAAAATAAATAAGATATGTTTACAGGATCATTTTGTTATACGAAAAACTAAGTGATGTGTTTTCAATGGCGCTCAGTATATATTTTCAATGTGTGTAGTTTCAGAATCCGGATGATGCCACCTTGGCAGCCTTGGGGAAATTAAAATATTCAAGATGGCCGTCATCGGGCATTTTCTGGTTATTTACTTAAATTTAATGGGTACAATTCGGTAGAAATTCGAACGGACCTCGGTATGAAGGTGGTTTCTGTAAGAATTGGTCCCGCTGAATATAATGAGCTTGGATATTCCTCCTAAGAGTGACGGCTACTTCCCTTAGGTGTACAAATACCAAAAGCTATTCCAACCCGATGATATTCTTCCCCTTATAAATGAAATGAAATGAGATGGTGTTTAACGTCCTACTGTTCTGCTCCGAACTGGACTAATGAAGACGAGCATACGCCATACAGTGTGCTATGAGGGACATTTTGCCCGGACAGCGGCACTACGGCCTACTCTTATATCGAATTCCAACTGTCAAGGGATCTTTTACGTGCACGCCAACGTGTACACGAGACCTCGGTTTTTCGTCCCATCCGAACGACTAGACAGCTGTCCTTGTCAGGCCATCCGTCCTGCATCACTGACAAGGGAGAACCCTGAAAATCTGGATGAACTTTCTCGGCCAATGCAGGGATCGAACACCCGACCGCCAGGCTAGCGAGCCAGCGCCTTACCCACTTAGCCACCGTGATCCCCTTTTCTTTCCCTTATACACACGGTCAAATACAATCAGGTATATGTCTAACTCACCCTCTCTTAAATCTTTGGAATACTCACAATCGGTAGAACAGTCCGATTCTTCCCATTCCATCTGTATCATCCAACGGGCATACCTTTATATGTATTGATATGTAAATATTGTACTTACTATTCGTATTTGATAGGTGGTGGAAGCGAGAACGTGATATAAATAAGATGGTATGGAAGATAGCTTATAAAGATCTGGATTTTGATTTTAGTAAACGAAGTCGCTCATTTCTCGTACGTAAGGTCTATTACCATTTTGTGTACACCCACATTGAAACGTCGTCCTAAATTGCCGTCACCCCTGCTGGCACCGTCCATCGGTCGGTTATTTACATTTCTTGTGAACACGTTAAAGACTACATTTATCATCCGATTATTTTCAAATGTATGTATGTTATTTAAATTAGTGAAACTATTTTCAACAACATTAGAATTTTCTAGAGTTAATGTTCTTGTGGACGATATAGCTTGAAATTTTATATGCATTGTTCAGATTAGTAAAACGAAGAATCGTATAAAATTTCAACAATTAAATGGCTTTTAGAGTTATCAGCCTTTTTTCACTAGCGACAAAAGTTGTCATCCAAACTGCTTGAAATTTATACATATATTGCTTAGACTAGTGACCCTTTCCTTCAATTGTGAATAAGGCATTTATAATGTAGCCAAGCGGCCAGGGAACTGGACCCCGATAGAATGCATCGGCGTCGCGGTTTGACTTGATACCTGGTCTGGCTCTGTGCCTTTATTATTACAGGGATACTCCACCACTACAAATGTCAGGCAGTTACATAGCTCTGTCAGGGGTACCCCACCACTAGAAATGTCTGTCAGAGTGTTTTTGTAATACCTGAAGATGTACGGTACACTGCAGTAAGATTTTCGTGTGGTACACTTTTGAACTAATCTAGCCTAGATAGGGATCATGGCATTTAGGGCGTGGAATACCACACCCACCACCAGAAACCTGACAGGCTTACATTCTGATGATACCAGATATACAAATAAGAAAAAGTTATATTTCTGTACAGCCTGGGATACCGCGGTTGCTATAACGATCGAATTGAGATACCATGCCTAGGGTGGCCCATGTACTCACAGAAATACAGTCCACCGCTGATAGTTCGAGACTACCACTGAAGCGTGCACATTCGCCGTGCCGAGACCAACTTTCTGACAGTATGATACTATAAATAGCCATGGCACGTGCAATTCTTTACAAATCTATCAACTATTACAGCCGTAAAAAATTTATTGTTGACGATTTTGAATAGCAGTAAAATTAAGCTTCTTGGTTATTACAGCAGATTTAGAAATTACGTTCGTTTCATTTTTTAAATCGCTTTATCATTAACTGTACCGTTAAAAGCGGCATCTTTTGGTTTAGTACAAATAATATCTCTGAAACACTCAGGTTAGGCAAGAACATGATACTAGCAGTAGTTTCATTTTACTTTTACAAGCTTCTTAAAACGATTGTTGAGCTACCTAACGTGCTTATTTCTAAATTCAATTTCTTGTTCTAGCTTTCTGTTATGTTTCGTAAAAAAGTAGTCTTGATTATCCCGACCTGTCAATCAGACGTAGAATGGTCGATAGACTGGTTAAGCGAGACTAATTTAAAAACAAGGGCACGTAACCTATCTTTTACTCAAAAGTGTCTGGATGTTATGGACGACTCTTGGAACCAGTTTTCAGTCTATTATTTATACGTGATTAATGGCCATAGCTTATTAAGTACAACATGATCGTTTATTTAGTGACTATAATTGTGTGGAACTGATTTGAGGCTTGGCATATATATAAGTATTGTGGCGTAATTGTCGAGATATATGGAGATATTTATTTATGGTGGGTCACCCTACCATGCCGTTCTCTTATATTTTTTTTTTAAATTTGAAAATTTACTAAATTTGTTACTTCTTGGAATTTGGAGTTTGGTATTACATATTTGGATTGCCGGCGTCTGTCTAATTCTACCGATCTAAGATTATTATGTTGTGAATTGCTCAACTATATTTTTCACTTTCGTAATGCGCATGCAAAGAACATGTCAATATCTAAGTTGTGCATGTGTTGTTATTTTGTGGTGTGTGTGGGGATAATCTTTGTCTTGCATCTGGTAACCGTGTAACACATGGCTACGGTGAAAGCCTTCAGTCTTGCAAGCAAGTCTCGTTACGGCTGGGTTCGAATTTCCGGCGCTATTGCACTTTCGCATATCTACCAGTTCCCGTGGTCGTAGAGACTTGAAATTTGCAGGGGTAGTTCAAGGACACTAGCCATGATCGCACACCAAATTTCAGTCGAATCGATCTATAACTTTTTATTTTACCGACTTTTTATCTTCAGACAAGATACGAGTATATCCGTTCGTCGTCATTTTCTTTGTTGACTACTTAGACTCGAATAACAAGACACTAAGACAGATTCCGACACACTGCGCTTCCTGCCTAACGCTGCAGTTCGTAATAATAATAATAATTTTCTTATATTTTAACTTTTGCGCTAAGCCACCATTTTTTATAAACGACTATTTGGCGATGACTAGTTGGGTTGGCCTTTACGTGTGAATATCGATGTGACCTTGACGCTGACCCTGACTTCAGATTTCCACTCGAGATCGGGACCTTTCCGCTTGTATGTGCCACGCCCCTATTTCTTGTTGTATGTATGAGGTTAATGTCCCGGGTTTAAAGCAGGCAACTCGAACTTTTCAATGTCAGTTTTTGAACATCTGACCTTGGCTTACGACCTTCAGTCCGTAACCATTTCAAATGACCAAAACTGTTGTTTGCATTAACAACGAAGCTATATCTACTTCCGGCGGTGTGATAAGTTCAGGAAAAAGTATTACGTATACCAAATGAATACACCCTAACCAATAGAGATTTGTCATTAATAAACATACTGTTATCGTGATTAGCTGTTGTTTTAGTGATTAGTAGTTACACCGTACACGATCAACTGATCTATCTTGTTTGGCTTAAAATTGATATTTTAAAATTTTAACTATGTTTTAATAATTAACTATTTTGGAGATTGAATATTTGCCTTTATATGATTGGGATTTCTCTGTATCATTGTTATTTTAATTTTGTGCTTCTTATTAAAATTTTTACAACTTCACAATATATGCTATGTGTTTTATTACTCAAGCACAGATCCTTTGTCATGCAAACCATGGGATCTTAATCTGAAACTAAATCTCAAAATTTTCTTGAACATGAATATATATTTATCACCCCATTCCATACAAGGAAAAGAAAGTGGTAATAAATACTCCTTGTATTTGGGTTCAAACATGCATGCAAATTGCACAAGGGTCAATTATTTTGTATTAAATATTCGCATTGTGGACGGGAATATACTGAATAATAATAAAGATCGTCAGTTTATATTTTTACTTTTTATCGAAATAACAAACAACAGAAACTCGACACCCTCTCTTGATAGAAACCGATTTGACCATAAGAAAATCTTCAGAGAAAACCTATCACGGTCCAAGCCAAGATTATGGCCTTTTAAAACGGTACAGAGTGAAGGTCCTAAGTGAATTTCAAATGCCTTTGAATAGTTCGAGTTCAGTTTTCCGTAATATAACCTTGACCCACGACTTTGACCAAGTTATATTTTCTGAAGGGCGTTGTCTCTGCTTTCAGCTCGAACATTAACCTTGATAATACAGCAAGAAATAAGGTTATGGCGCGCATAAACGCAAAAGTCCCGAGATCGATGGGAAGTTTGGAATCAATGTCAAAATCGAGGTCACGGTTGGTTAGCGTTGATTGATGGAGGTCACCACAACCCTTCTTGACCACGCCCATAACCTTCCTCTCGAACACGGACCCTCGGCGTTTGACCGTTTTCTGGCCAAGCGTGACAGGACCAAGGTAAACGTCGATGGTTCAAGCCAAGATGATGGTCTTTTAAAATGGTTACGGGGTGAAGGTCGTAAGTCAAGGTCAAATGTCCCAAAATTGCCTTTGAAAAGTTGACCCACGACTTGGACCCAGTTTTCTTTTCCGAAGGGCGTCGTCTCTGCTTTCACCTCCAACATTAACCTTGAACCTTGATAATACGGCAAGAAATATGGCCATGGAGCGCATAAACGCAAAGGCACCGATATCGATGGGAAGGTTGGAGTCAAGGTCAAAGTTCTGGTCGCGGTTGGTTAGCGTTGATAACCGGATGTCACCACGACCTGCCCGTTGTCTTCCTTTCGAACACAGGCCCTCTGTGTTTGACCGTTTTCTGACCAAGCAGTGTGTGACAGGACAGAGGTAAACGTTGATGGTCCAAGCCAAGATGATGGCTTTTTAAAGTGGATACGGGGTGAAGGTCGTAAGTGAAGGTCAAATGTCCAATAACTGCCTTTGAAAAGTTTGAGTTCAGTTTCCTGTAACATGACCTTGGACCAAGACTTTGACCCAGTTATCTTTTCTGAAGGGCGCCGTCTCTCCTTTCACGCCGAACATTGACCTTGATATGATAATACAGCAAGATATAGGGCCATGGCAAGCATAAACGCAAAAGTCACGAGATCGATGGGAAGTTTGAAGTCACGTTCAAAATAGAGGTCACGGTTGGTTAGCGTTGTTTACTGGAGGTCACCCCGACATTTCATATTGACCACGCCCATAGCTTTCCTTTCGCACACGGACCCTCTGCGTTTGACCGTTTTATGACCAAGTAGTGTGTGACAGGACCAAGGTAAACGTCGATGGTCCAAGCCAAGATGATGGTTACGGGGTGAAGGTCGTAAGTCAAGGTCAAATGTCCCAAAACTGCCTTTGAAAAGTTTGAGTACAATTTTCTGTAACATGACCTTGACCCACTACTTTGACCCAATCGTCGTTTATCAAGGGCATATTTGCTGCAAACATTTCTCCACACCACAACTAATCGTTGAATCGTACATTACTCATCAGTTGTTTATAATTATTTTTTTACCAAATAATGAATAAGCTTTGTTCACGGATGTTTTTGTAATAAAGTAGACTCGTATTATTTGTTGATTGGCGTTTAGACAACATTTAATGGACTTGATACGAAATCTGAATATAAATTATTCGATAGATAATTATTTGTGATAGGATTAGGTTATTGTCTAACATCGTTTAACTTCTTTATAAAAAAAAGTATTTTACAATTACATTGACACTTTAATCACTCACTAAACGGCATCAGGAACTTCAGCCACGATGATCACGTGTATTTGATATTCATGTCCATGAATCCATGCAATTTTCGCGGCAAAATTTAACCTCAGTTACTATGCTCGTAGTATGCACGGAACCGTACACGGTAATAAGATTCCCAGCGTTGATTGGCTGCGAAATGAGGGCGATCTATTGTTATGCATAGTCATTAGAAAATTACATATTCGCTGTGAGTTATGATATAAGTTGTTCGTTGTGTATAGAAATGGTTATTATAATTATATATTGCTAATAATGAATATATCGACAAATGACTGGCACCATTTGTATTTCTGTGCTTATAGAGAATAGTTTGGGAAATCAAGTATTATCCAAATTACCGGTAAATGCGCTAATTGCTTGGGTCTTCTTCATTTGTCACGAGGCCTATTTAAACAAAGGACGCTTAAATGGATCTACGGCATGATAAAGCATTTTAAATTCACTCTAAAATACTCCAATCACAAAATATCTAATCTATAACAATGCAAGACGATAATTCGGTGATTATGATTAGGCCAGTCACATGGTAATTGGACCGTGATGTGTATATACAGTGATATGTTGTACAGTTAGTGATATATTGTACAGATAGTGATATATTGTGTATAGATAATGTATACACGATGTGTAGCGCCTGTGACGTCACCAGCCAATCAACCAGATTAAGGTCGTAATTGAAAAATTGAAAAGCGTTTTGGCGTGTCGGATACTTAAACGTAAACAGCCGGATTAATTTTAATCAGATTGTTGTACGCTTGTCGTAAAGTGGATATAGTAACTATTGGCTACACGTACCGAAAACATTTTTTGTCCATATTATGTGTTCTTTAACATCGAATACACAGCAAGAAATAGGGGCGTAGCACATATAAGCGCAAAGGTCCCGATCTCGAGTGGAAATCTGAAGTCAGGGTCAGCGTCAAGGTCACACCGATATTCACACGGAAATGCCAATCCAACTAGTAGTCGTCAAATTTAGTCGTCTATAAAAAATGGTGGCTTAGCGTAAAAGTTAAAATATACGAAAATTATTATTATTATTACGAACTGCAGCGTTAGGCAGGAAGCGCAATGTGTCGGAATCCGTCTTAGAGTCGAAATAGTCAACAAAGAAAATGGCGTCGAACGGATAAACTCGCATCTCGACTGAAGATAAAAAGTCGGTAAAATAAAAAGTTATTGATCGATTCGACTAACATTTGGTGTGAGATCATGGCTAGTCCCATTGAACACCCCCTGCAAATTTCAAGTCTCTACGACCACGGGAACTGGTAGAGGTGCGAAATTTGCAATAGCGCCGAATTTACTAAATGTCGGACCGAAACTGCCAGACAGGGACAAAATGGCCGCTTCTCTTGTCGGCCCTCTAGACGAAACTGAAAATGGATGTTTATATCTAGATGATCTCGGTGCGAACGGTAATTTCCTGGATTATGGTCCCTGAGTGTATGGAAAGTAACGTTTTTAGTGTGTGGTCCCTTTAGAGCTCACAATTTGTATACTTTATCGTCACTCTGTCCGTCGGTCCGTCCGTTTTGACGAATTCTTTTTTTAAAATTTGATGTGAAGCATCTTGGTCATGAAAGGAGGAACCCTATTTTACGGAGTTATCCCCCTTTTTGTAAGGAACATGAGAGGGTTAACCCTTTTGATATTCAGCGTTCCACGACTTCCGTTCCCATGCTATGCCCATTTTCCCCAAAGAAAACTTGTGAGCGCGATAAAGGCTATAGGGCATCGATCCCTATCGATCTTTATAATCCGGAGTGTTCCGTCCATGAGTTATCCCCCTTTTCGAAAACCGGTGTTATGCCCACTAGTTCAAACAGGAACTTGTGAGCGCAATAAAGGCTATAGTTTGTAATGGATCTTTTTTTTTCATATTTGGTTTGAAGCATTTGGGATCATCGATCCATATCGATATTCATAATCCACAGTCTTCCGTCCCTAAGCTATCACCCTTTTCCGAAAATCGTGTAAACGCGATAGAGGCTAGCTATAGGTTTTAACAGAATTGTTTTTCAAATTTAGATGGAAGCAATGGTGCCGTGAAGATAAACCCTAGAGAATAGATTTTTTCTTGGATCTTAAGTCCTTATCAAATTAGCTCAACATCCAAGTTCTCCTTTTGGATAGGTGCAGTTGAAGTAAAGCTACTGTGTGGGCGTATTCGCGTGGCCATCTTTATCAAATTTGGTGAAAATCATTTGAGTAATGTGAGGATGAAACCTATCGGTTCTCTGCATTCCACGACCTTTCAGTGAGTGGATGAATCCTATTGATTTTCAAATTGGGTGACAAGCACTGGAATGGGAGATAATGGACCCTATTATTTTAACGTTCTAGGAAAAAATTGTGAAGATGATAGAAATTAGATTTCTTGGCGGCATAAAAGTTCATTATTAAATAATTTAGCGTCGAATAAGTAGCCATCCGTGGCTATTTATATTTTCGAGACAAAGCTGCTGTGCGGGCTATCATTTTACATACGCGGCATGTTAAAAGATAGAAAGTTATTCCAGCCTTGACTTAGAGTTCTTGAAATCAGGATTTTTCTTCTAGGTCACCATGGAATTTCTTGTTGCTTTATCATTTTGTTATTCATTCATTGATATGATAGTCAAACGACCTTTAAAATGATTTCCAGTGTGAATTAATCTGGTACTAATTACGTTGTGGTACTGTCATATATATTGTATTATATAAAGCCATGGAAATTTGTTTAACTCGTTCCTTTTAAATTAATCATAATATGAACATTCAATGTATGCGTTGTGTTTATCATTGAAAGAAGGTCGAAATTAACTATATGCATGATTGGTTGTCAGTCACAATACGCTGTGTCTTCTGTAGAAAGCGCCATTAGACCACACAAATAGTGATAAGCATGCCACGTAGTACTCAAGTCCAACCATAAGTACTTATTTTCGAAAATACGACATAAATCGAACGCAGCATCATTGTCATATTTAAAATCTTTATTTGTATTCATTTATTGTTATGATACAGACAACTGTGGCCACCAGTAACGGTGCAAATAGTGAATGTGGTGATAGTTTTGTTGGTAAGTTTCCTAACTCGCCGTCAGCCAAACTACAAAAACTCTTGGAAGTGGATGCAGTTGAATCTATTACCATGTGCCCTCAATATTTTACCACAGTAGCTAGATTCCGAGAAAATATTGTAGCTATACAGGAAATACGAAAAACCAAAATAAAAGTAGACAGAGTATTCTTAGAGAATATGAGGCAGGTAATAATACATTAACCAATTGTTATTTGTCCTTTGTTACTATAAGTCATAAAAGTCAGATACTGTATATAATTCAACTTTTACAACATCGGTGTTATTGTATATCAGAGATTACATTTTATTTTCCTATTTTTTGCACATTTATTACAATTTTTATTTTGCGATTTTATTATTGGTAGCTTTCTTATTTCTTTCTTTGTACTCAATGAATGTTTTTTGTTGCAGCTACTGGCCGTCAAACATAATAATCTAACCGGATTTATAGGAGTGTGTCCAGAATCGTTACATATATGTGCCGTTTGGGAATACTGTAATAAAGGCAGTTTGCAGGTACGTCTATTGTAAGGGTATTATTTCTCGAAATTCGGAACTTTTCGCTTACAAATCACTCAGTTATTTCTGTTTCCGTTCAAATTTATTAAATCTTTTGAAGGCGATGCATGATAAGAGCTCCGAAAAGACATGTTTGTAACTCGATGAGCTTACTCATTGTGGCATAAATTGTATCACAGTATTTCAACAGAACAAACAACAGAAGCTAGGATTGTCCAATTAGATTTAGCTAATAATCTTTAAGTGGCATTTAGCGATAGGCACAACGTTTCGACGAGTATCCTTTTATCGTTATCAAGCACAATGACATTTTAGTAAACTTGAGTGAATATATAAGAGTCAACGATGAAGCCATTTACAGAGATTAAAAAACAATATGAAGTAAATGATTACCCCCCACCCCCCAAAAAAAAGATTGTGGTGCTTGTATTTCTAATTATTAGGGTCATCTATATTTTGGTAAATGGTTTCAATGAAATGAAATATGGTTTTATGGCACGTCAGCTCCAACCGGTCTATATTGCGCCAAACTTATTGTGAACATTATGATACAGGCTAAATTATATCACAGAAAAACATTATATGCATCAATAAAAACAATATCACAGTTAATAAAATTAATAAATTTGGTCATTTGGTACCCCGTATACCCCACAAGAAATATGAGGGTCACCAACCTTGTAGTTACGGAGAACCAGCTATGGCCATTTTAGAGTAAAAAAACCCGTCATTTTTTTAATAAAAAAATTTCCTAATTCCAAATGTTTCCCATAAATTGCCTATTGATTTTTATTATTTTTAATTATGAATAATCTTGTCTACTACTTCAATATATATGACTTTTAAATTTTTCCGAAACCATTTGAGGCTATGAGGGATTTATTTTGAGACGTAGCTTTTGCTATATGCTAAAACATATAAATTTCATGATGCTATATCTCACCCACTGCGGGGCTGAGGACAATTCTATTAATAATGGAAGTTGAGGACTACTACTTGGTTTTGACAAAATGACTGGCACGGATTTCTTTCATATTAAATTTGATGGTCGAACTTGAAGAAAATAACTTCATTTTTGACTTCATTTTTCCAATAAAATCATTCATTGCCTGGATTATTAGGCCAGATAATGCCCCAGCAACCCTGTGTTGGGCCGGTCCAGATGATTCGGGAGTTCCACAAGGATCAGTCCTTGGGCCTGTCTTTTCTGTAATGTATACTAAGAATTTAGGACAACTATGCAGATGATATACAGCTGATCGCAAATTATTCCCTTTCAAAAACTGTTCCATCCCCTAATTGTACACATGACATTAAAGCATAATACTAGTTCTAAGATTAAAGATAGGATGACAAGAAATATGTTAAAATTAAATTTAATTGAATTAATTAAATCAAAATGTATTATATGTGGTCCAAATACACATCTGAAAAATACAAGTTCAAATGATATGGTTGTACGAGATGCAATATTTGTACCACGAGACACTGTGAAGAAGTTAGGTGTCCACTTAGGGTCCAATTTGAGCATGGTCAGTGACATTAGTGAAATTTGTCGAAACTGTTATCTTCGATCCAGGAACATTGGCCATATAAGACACATTATTAGCCAGGAAGCAGCTGCTACACTTCTATGTTCTTTGATATTCTCAAGGAGTGACTACTGTAACAGCCTGTTAGTAGAAACATCTAGTGCCAATATTAAAAAAAAATCAACATGTACAAAATACCGCAGGTCGAATTCTTACCAGATCATCAAATACTCTCATATTACTCCTGTTCTGAAATCACTCCATTGGCTGCCAATTCACGAAAGAATCATCTTCAAAAGTCTGTCTTTGACGTATCAGTGTGTGAATGGCTGAGCTCAAATATACTTATCTAACCTTATGCAAATACAAGTTCCCTCTTGTAACCTCCGGCCGAACACACCTTCATCAGTTGTGTTGCTCGTCGTGCTCAGTGAATGCGCCTTAACTGCGGAACAATCTTCCAGAGATCATTAAATCATGATTAAACCCTTTCTTGTTTTACACCATGACTTAAAACCTATTTTGTTATCAGGATTAATTAAATTAATTTAATTGTATGCGCATTGGACATGCCTCTGTACATGTGCTATATAAATCAGCTGTACATTTCCCCCGTCTTTTGCACAAATAAAATGCGGTTTAGTAGCCAGTTATCCGAAAGAAACTACAATAGCATATTCCTGAAGCAATAGCCCGAGAAATACCGCTCTGGCCATTGCTGGATTGACTTCTAATACTTATGTTTTTAGGGGAGTACGTATCTATTCTCCCCGTTCAATTAAATCGCTCCTAAGTACAACCTTTCGTTTAATCTGGGGTCTTCCCTAAAACTTTGGACAGTGATTTAAGGTATTAACAACGGTGAAAGTATTGTTCGTCTCCAAGCAGTATTGTTTACATTGTAGCAGTTTTGATAACCTTGTTTATCGCGCAATTATTTTTTTCAACAATATTCTGCTAGTGCTATGCACTGATTAATTGGGCGTAATAAATTTCGTGAATCATGACGTAACGTTATGTAAACATATTTGGAGCTCCGTTTAAACTCGAATTATATTGTTACGCAGTTAGGTATTGGTTGTTAATCGGACTATTGACCAGTCATAATTTGGAACAGAAATTTGCTTTCATTACGGCAGTGTTGAATGGGATTAGGTCTAATCAAACGAAAAACTGTGGGGAGTATGCTACAACAGTGACCTTACTCTCATATACTATTTGTTTTTTGTCTTTTTGAAATATCGCTTGATTCGTTTGTCATGTATAGATAGATGTACATGACTGCTAAGCTATTTAGTTTTTTACGATTTGCTGTTAAAAAATTCATGATCCTTCTGCTAGATCATGAGATTATATTGTCGAATTAATAAAATATTGAAAAATAGTCTAGAGAGATTAATTGTATTTACCAAGAACAGCTCTTTTGGCATTTACAGTAAATTAAGCTTCTCAAAATTTTAACGGTGTAATTGTGAGCTCAGTTTTCGTGATTAGATTTTTTAAACGTGAATTTTTTGGTGAACGTATATAATGCGCTTATATTTACTTGTTTATTTCTATTTCTATTATGGCTTGCTCTTAATTGAACTGAAACCCACGTTAATTTGGTTTCCAGTGCCATGTTACACTTTGCAGTATGTAAATAAAGCGTTTTATGTTTCGTCATTTTTGTTGAAAATCGTTATTTTTGGACCAAAATGGAAATTCTTTACTACTAAACGGGTCGAGTGCCACCCAATTGCTTTTTCAGTCAGTATTCCAAAAAATACTTAAACCCGTAGTGGGTGAGATATATATAAAATAAAATTACATACCTAAATTGAGCTATTTTGGTACCTTACAGCACTAAGTCTCTATACCAAAGACCGCTCAATGAAAGTCCACCAAACTTTCTTAATGTATACTTACTAACCATATCTGCGACCCTATAAAGTTTCATTAATCTACTCGCCGTAGTTTAGTTGTAAGCCATAATTGAAAAGTGGCGTAAAAATGATGGGGTTTTTTTTTGGCTTTTTTCGGTCTTAAAAAAATTTCAAATATTTTTCTACACTCTAAAAAATGGTTCGATTGATCTAAAATTGTGGCAGTGGGGTTTGAAGGGGATACCCATCTTACATAAAAAAAATGGCGAAAATCGGTTGAAAATCCGGTTGAAAAGACCCAGTAAGATTAGGTGTGTTGGGAAAGGTAAATGTTTTAAAATCTGGTAGTGTATTTCATCTGGACCAGTTGCATTGTCCGGAGCCCACTTTAGCCAGTCCCGAAGCTCTGCAATGGAAAAAGTATCATTGTAGCATTCATCATTGCGGGACTTGAAATTAAGCCGCCCTTTCTCCTGTTGTTGTTGTTTAATAACTCGAAAGGAATCACAGAGGAGAAATTAGATGATGGATTGAATGAAAATGTACTGGCCAGAGAATTGGCAATATCAGTAAATGTTGTTACGGTGGCATTGCCAACATTTTCATAATTAACTGACAATGCACTATTTTTACCTTTAATCCTACGAATCCTATCCCACACCGACTTTGATGTGGTACGAGAATAGATTCTCGAGTCACACCCTTGCCATGAAGATTTCTTTACTTGACGTATGGTTCGCCGGACTATTTGGTATGCCGCAATATTCTCCATGGAAGGATGGCTTTTTAATCGTCTAAGGATATGATCACGCTCTTTCAGAGCGGATTTGCAATCGTCATTATACCATGGTTTATTGAAATATTTTGGTTCAGTCGTGGTTTTTGGAATCGCCTGCGAAGCTACATCTTGTAGAATTGGAGTGAATAAGGCCATGGGCTCATCTGTATCAAGAGAGAAGAGACAAAAAGATTCAAATAGAGCCCAATCAGCCTTATGCAACTTGCACCCCTGGGTTCTTTCGACCGGAGAGGGACCGCTATTATCAATCAAGATAGGAAAGTGGTCACTACCACACAGATCTTCATTTACTCTTCATGTAAAATCCTGAAACAAGACCGAGGAGCAAATGGTGAGATCGAGGGAAGAAAAATAAGCTGTAGATAAGTAGGCGAGTCATCAATTAATAAACACAAATTATTACGGTTAATGAGGTCCGCTATTTGTTTACATCTGTTGTTATCATCTGGACTACCCCAGAGTGAATGATGACCATTGACATCTCCCGTATTAACGGGAGAGGAAGTTGCGCAACAAAGTCATCAAGATCTCTGGGATTAAGATATAAACTTGGTGGAAGATATTCAGAGCAGAGTGTTATAGGATTATGCAAAGTCACCCTAACTGCAACTGTCTGTAAAGGTGAGTTGAGGGTGACTTGACTTAGAGGGATATCGCCGTTAAGAATAATAGAAACACCCCCATGAGCTCTACCATCACGAACTGAATGATGATGGTAACCAACAAAATGTCCAAAAGACAAAGTGTCAGAATTCCGTAAAAAAGTTATTGTAAAGGATTGTGCTTTTGAATTAATAATTGGACTTCATTAAAATTTGGTTTTAAACCACGACAATTCCATTGAATTCCATTGTCAGGATAATTTAATTTTGGCGGCTTACCGGCGGGTTCATATGAACACCCGCTACGGTAATACCGTCCATCAGTTCAACACCAAATTTGCTGAAATGGGTAATAGGGTCTTGTGAACCCTTTTACCCCTTTCACGCAGTTGTCTTCCCTTTCTGCTAAGAACCACTTGTTCCTGTGAGGGTGGAATACACTTAGGCTGTGATTCTGACCCAGTAGGACCAGGAGTTGCAGCTTTAGCGTGGTTTTAGGGAAGAGACTCCTTGCCATTCCGAGTGGAAGCATTGGGAATGTTCCCATTAACTTCCCTTTATTTTGATCTGATTTCATCAAAGTCTTTGTTTTAATCTGCTTAAAAGTAAAAACTTTAGGTGTAGAACTAACTATTACCAAAGCTCATGTTTTCCCTCCTCAATCTCACTCTGGAACAACCTTGAAACTGATATTCTGAATACGGAGTCCATATCAAATCAAAATATTCATCTCCTTCTAAGGACATATTTCACTTTGGTGACAGATTTTTCGAAATAATTCAATGCAAACTGAGGCATTGTAAAAGTGAACTAAACCACCACAAAGTCATGATGCATATATCAAATAATCCAATGTGTCTGTGGTAAATCAGTTGAAAACTATGATCATTACTTTTTTCATTGTCCACTATATACCGACCCACGATCTAAAACACTGGATACACTTGATCCAAAATATCAAAACAGCAAAGTAGTGCTCTTTTGAATTGAAAATGCTCCTCTAGATATTAATCATTTACTATTCAACACCTTACGAACCTTTATAAATCAAACTAAACAATTCAAATTGTGAGTTCTACCTTACGTAATCCTTGTCCAGAATAAAACTGTAGTAAAATGCTTACTGCCTGCTTTCCTCGACACTGATGACTACCCCGCACCATCTTATCTGGCCAGGTTAAGTCTGTCTGAATAGAAATGGATTTGGTGGAAAATTTAACTGCACTTGAAAATGTTTTCCCCTGTGGTGCAATGGAAAAAAGTGCAGTTAAATCTACCTGCTTTTGAGCATCGAAATAAGGTACTTTTCTTTCAGACATGACCTGTTGGATTCTTTTCTCTTTTTGCCGTACTGGACATTCACGAGAATAAGCAAAGTGCTCCCCCTTACAATTTATGCAACAAAACTCAGCCTGGCAGGTACCCCTCTCGTGGCCATCATGAGTTTTGCTGTGTCCAAACTTTTGGCACTTATAGCAACGAAGAGGATTGGAAATGTATGAATCCACAGGTATGTTTAAATAACCTGCCTTGAGAGTCTTTGGTACGCCGGGACGATTGAAAGTGCTTGTAGGTGCTTGTTGGAATCACCTTATCTCCTCGACGAACACTAATTCTTTCAATCTGATTAAAACACACATCCTATTTTGTTTCGCTTTTACAGTTCAAAATTTCGTTTTACTTGTCTTTACTACAGTAGGATCTGGAAGAGTTGTTATTGACGTGTTCTAAATAGTGTGAGGTATTAGCCAATGAAACAGTCTGTTACGTCGAGCTTTGATAATCCACTAGTAACACTAATTCTGATTGGTTAATCAAATGTCTGACGTCATAGGCTCACTTGCCGCTCGTATGACCTCTGACGTGACCTATCGCAACAACCGGTCAGATCTTCATGTAGTGTAGGCCGCCATGGAAAGTATAAAAGACGAAACGAAATATAGATCTGTGTTTTAATCAGATTGTAATTCTTTTGACGTTTTGTACACCTTGAGAAGTAAGGTATTCTGCAAGTTCCTCCTCACTGCTGTCTCCAAGGTCCCGACAACGTATTACACCTCTACTAGAATTTAGAGACCTATGGGGAGACACCTTAATAGGAATGTCTGCCAAAGATAATTATTTAAGAAGCATGGTAGCATGCTGTTCTAAGGGACTATCCCGATTTCAAGAGAGTCTCAAGAATAAAAGTCGGGGTACGTATGAAATTTAAGCGCCAAAATATAGAGGAATGGTGTATTTACCTTCTCTCAAAATTCCAGCTAAAAATATTTAACCGTTGGACGTGAACGTCAAAACTGCTTATCCGGATACGTAACTCTTTTAAGATTTCGGGGCAGTTTTTTCGTTGGTGACCTGATAATCGATTCCCGTTCCTTGAGAGGTCTATATAGTGAATGACCCATGTGCTCTACTTGATAACGAAAGATAAATTTCACCTACACATTATTTTTATAAAATAAAAGTCTGGTTTTATCCAGACACCGCCTAATACAGCTTGGGACACCGGTCTCCATTTCCATATGAAGACTGACGGGTTTAAGTTGTTTGAAAACTTATCACAAATATTGAGTTAGTTGCTCGGCCCTTAGCGAGAGGATTTTAAGGGATTTTAACACAAAATTAAGTAATTTTATTCTCCAATAAATATCGGGATTAGCCCTTTCAGAGTGTTCCGATTTTAACACAAAATTAAGTAATTTTATTCTCCAATAAATATCGGGATTAGCCCTTTCAGAGTGTTCCGGTTTTTTTTATAGTTTTTTTGGTAGCTTTGGGCTCGCCGGCCAGGCCAGTTATGCTCTTGGTTATCAAAAAAGGTGACACTTTCGATAGGTCTCGAGAGAGACTCTCAATTAAGAGAAACCTCGGCCAAAGTGACTTTTTATTATTATTATTCGTAAATAAATTTGAAACGTCCTCTATTCAGACGTGTTTGTGTGTGTGTGGGGGGGGGATTGGGTAATTCATTAATTTTTTTTTTAAATTTACCCCTCGTCGTCCCCCAGGTTACTACCCTGCCTACCATGGGGAGGACTAGCACGGATTACCAGTGGATTGCCCTAGGGCTCGACGAGGGGTATACTCAAGCCACTAAGTATAAATACTTAGTCGACTCGATTAACCCAAGCCGCGGGTTTGTAGAATGTACTTAGGACACAAAGGTAATTCTGCTGAGTGAAAAACAAAAAAAGGAACAAAGCAATGAAATTGGAAAAACGTAGTTTCTACAGAGCTAAAAACGACCAAAGCCGATTGATCAGAGTGAACCACACGGACCCCCCCCCCCCCCGTCTAGGTGAACCATGGACCATAGTAATAGTGTTGCAGAGAAAGGACTCGCAAGCCAAATCCCCACTCAATTACCAGGAGTCCACTCTCCACCAACACGGGTCGCAACGCTCGGCAACCACGTTGCCCCATTACAGGGATTCTTTTAGTCGCCCTTTACGACACGCAGGACATACGAAGGGCTACCTATACAGTAAAAGGAACAATCAACGGTAGTGTAACTTTGTTTTGAATGAACTTGTTACACCCCTATAGCAAATTGGGTGTTTTATAAGGTGGACTATAACGGCATAACCTCCAATAACTACATGCTTTAAATTTCACGTGCGCAAGAAAAGAACTAAGCCGTGGTTTGATATTTGGTACCTATTACTCACCAGTGCACTAATACCTAGAGATAAACTGTATAACCTTTACCTTATATTTGTAGGATGTGCTTGAAAATGATAATATGAAAATAGACACAATATTCCAGTTTTCTATAGCAGTTGATATATGTACGGTGAGTTAGTTATGCTCAATTATTTTTAAATACAATAATATTGTTCTTTAAAACAGTAACAGTACAGTATAGTACAGTACAGTACAGTCGATTTTGGTTATTTTTACTGCCTGTCATTTCTAGTATTTAATGGGACGCGCATAACGATGAGTAATCACCGCCTGTTGCAGTGTGTGTGGGTGTGTGTGTTTATTACAATTAAAACCGTCTAAAGGTACTTGACAGTGTTCACATTCTGATTGAGGCTCTTGCTTTAAGATAACTTCATCCCTCCTGTTGGTACTATGGGAGTTGGGCCAATCCCAAGGAGAGGCTTGATGTGAAGAAGTTCATTTGTGCCTGCAAGATCCCATGACCGTTGCCAGCGGATGAGATGATTTATTGGGGACCTAAAATCTTGATATGGAATTAAAAAAAAGTGATCTAAAGCAGCTTTGGCAGCAAAATCTCATCAACGTGACTGGGGAGCCAGCAAAAGACGATGTCTTTGCTGTTTAACTCGTAAGATAGTAGCAGACGATAGACATCTGCTACCAATGGGTGTCCAAACTGTTTGTTATAAGCTGCTTGTAGTGAGGACGAAGACTCGGAAAAGATGATGTATTTTAAATCTGATGAGGACTGGATGAACTCCAAGGCCTGGATAATGGCCTTGAGCTCAGCTGTAAAAATAAAAGCAGCAGGTGGAAGGCTTACAAAAATGGTCTCAGATTGTGTTACGGTAGCCGAAGCTACCCGATCATCATCTTTCGAACTATCTGTATCATTTGGAGCATAATCACCATATTTAGACCTTAGCTCTCGAAAGCCAGACTGAAACACCATGGAGCTAGTATCTCTCTTTTTATGTTGCGTAAGATCGAAATCGATCTTTTTGGGGAGATATAGACCACGATGGATTCCTAAAGAAAGGGGTATCAATAATACTGTTAAGGCTGATACCAGCCTCAGACAAATGGGGTTTTATGCGAATACCAAATGGTGGAGTAACTTTAGTCTTGCGAACGGCTCATATATAACAACGATTGGCGAGGCGCCCATAAAACCATGTGACATTGGTTGGGCGCCCGCCAATCTCGTCGTGGGCGCTGGACCAATGTCATCCGGCTTTATAGGGTGCCCATACTGATATGGGCACGTTGGCTTTGGCATTGCGTCCAATGGACACAGCAACCATGATAGAGTCTACAATCTTTAACGGGGTTGTTTCCGCTGTCTTCCGTACCAGAGTTATGCACCCTTTTCTTAAATTTGACTTTGAGGATGAACCCTATCGATATTCGGCGATCTGCGACTTTCCGTTCCGGAGTTATGCCCACTTGAAGCATTGGGGTTATATATGCCGAACCTTATATCTAGTCTGCGTTTCCGATTTACGCCCTCTATTTCAAACACATTGTGACCATGATAGAGGCTACATGAAGTTTTCAGATAGATCACAATATTTGAATGATATGTTTGTTTTCTAATTTTAGTAACAAGTTCTTCCAGATTGATACAAAGTCTTCATTAAGCTGATTATCCCAGTCTAAACTGAAAGTACTTAGCTTCCTAAAACAACAATTAAAAACTCAAAAAATCGGCGATATTAATCCCAGTGGATGATAAAATCAGGAAGTAAAACTCAATACCAAACGTTTGGTTACTGAATCAGATTGCATAGCACTGCGTTATATTTCTTTACATACATACAGTTCAATTGAGAATGGATATTTTCTCTGTTTTCCAGGGCCTTGATTATATTCACTGTAGTCCTATAAAACTTCACGGAAATTTGAAAAGTAGTAAATGTGTTATTGATAGTAGATGGAACTGCAAAATAACAGATTTTGGATTATCTAAATTAAAATCATCACAGGCGTCTGATAAAACCAAATCAGATACTCACAAATTTGAAGGTAAGGTTTGCAAACAAAAAAAATGGCATACATTATTTCGTACCTTTCAAGTGTCAATGATCCTAGACAGACCACCTAAGATTCTCCATAATTATATGGAATTAAATATATTTTATACCAGGTTTTTGTTAATAATCACAATTTTGATTTTGAAAGATAACAGAGTTATGTGGAAATGTAAGGCGGGAAGTTATGTTTATTAGAATGTTATTTCCAGATTTGGTACGTCAAAATTTCCATTGTAAACATCAGACAATCTTTTGAGCAAAACGTTGTTTTGGTAATTCATCTGTAGTAGATAGCTTCATTTCGAGTTAAAACCAAGCAAAGAGATAAGAATTAAAATTAAAACCAATGAGAAAATCTATGTTGAACTGTGGCATTATAAGTTCTTTTAATCCTTAAATTACTTCCACTGTTTCAAGCTCACAGTTTTGTTGATTACTTCATTTTGGTCACTTACAATTTCTTTAACATATTTTACATGTCTGGCCAACACAGCCGATTATGATTTACGCTAGAATGAAACAGTAATTGCTTTTTTAGTCTTTTTTCCTCACTTACAAAAGCTCTGTGTATCTAGTTGGTTTGGTTATGCGCGATTTGTTATTGATATATGGCCTACATGTATTTACTTTATATATACTAAGCAGCAAAAGTAACGCCAGGTTGGTATGTTACTCTGAATAGACGCATTGCATAAAACTTGCCAAATGTTTTTATTGTTTAATTGTGACCACATCTCCAACTTTACCTGAGCAACGAGGCTCCTTCCCAAACACAGAATTGAAGCCAGGAAATGTCCTCAAAAACGCAACCTGATTTCTGAGATGGTAATCTGTGTTCTCCATGATTTTCATTTAACTCATGCTGCACGTGTGCCGATCCTTACCCCTCGCCATCGACGTGAACGTCTATATTTTGTCCACATTTCGCACGTCATCAAAACAAAGTTTTTCAGCATAAGTACGCTCGTGCCCACACCGCCAGAGTTACTCGGGACTTCCTACAGCAGAACGGTGTCGTGGAACGAGACTCATGGGGAGGTCCAAGCATAATGGTTTGGGGTGCAATCAGCCTGAACCATAGAGTGGGTCCTGGAACGAGACTCATGTGGGGGAGGGGCAAGCATAGTGGTTTTGGGATCCTGTGGTGTTCCAAAATCTTGGTCCAGGGAGAGGAGGCGGCATCACAGCAGTGCACTACATCGATCAAGCTTTCAGACCCCACGTCATACCACTTTCGCACGTCATCAAAACAACGTTTTCCAGCATGACAACTCCCGTGCCCACACCGCCAGAGTTACTCGGGACTTTCCACAGCAGAACGATGTCAACGTTATGCACTGGCCAGCCGTTATAGTCCGGACTAAACCCGATTGAACATTTTTGGGATGAAATTCAGAGGAGACTAAATAACTTCGTACCGAGACTAAACACAGCCGATGGATTGAGCCAGGTTTTTCTGAGAGTGTGGTTCCAGGTGTTTATGGCGTTCATCAATCGTCTGGTCCATTCACAGATACTGATGTATAGACTGTGTACAGACTCGAAACCTTCTCGTAATGTCTTGAAATTGTGATGAATTAATCACTACTAATGTGTCAACATACTGTTAAAAAAAATTGCTTTGATCCATTTAGTAAGTCGTTTTCTAGGATGATTTGATTAAAATGCCTGTTTGATTTTGAAATCGTACTGACGTTTTTTTTTTAGTGTGTTTTTTTTTGCTGTTTAATATGACAATGTTCATTTTGATTTTTTCAGTGTTCGCCCACGAAATTCTCTCTCAGACTGGTTGATTCTTTAATTATTTGAATATAATTAAGCCTAAACGTATTATTTAGTACAGGGTACCCCATCTTTTAAATGTTTGGCCAACACAGCCGACCATGATTTACACTAGAATAATACAATATTTGCTTTATTTAGTTCTTTTTCCTCATTTGCAAATTTTCTGTGTTTCTAGTTGGTTTGGTTATGTATGATTCGTTATTCGTGTATGGCCTACATGTATTTACTCTATATATGCTAATGTTCATTGTTCTCACTCAAGCTGGTTAATTCATTACTTATTTGATTATAATTAAGCCTAAAAGTGTTATTTAGTACAGGGTACCATTTCCCAAAACCAGAATGCTTTTCCACACACGGCAGATATTCCAAATTTCATTAAGATTTGTATTAATTAGTATTACTATAAAACTGTTGTTTATTTCAGCCTTATTTTGGACAGCACCGGAGCTGTTAAGAAAAAGATTAGAAGGTAATCGCCGTGAAAGAACTCAAGAAGGTGACATCTATGCGTTAGCTATCATACTTAAGGAAATACTTTGTAAAAACGGGCCCTATGCCGAAGACGTTCAAATGCCTGCTAAAGGTATAGACAATATTTTTGTCTTTCTTATAAAAGAATGTAGAGAAAATAACTAGTAGAAAAGAAACTAAAAAAAAAATAATGGTAATCGTACTTTTTTTCATTTTAATGTGTTTCCTGAAAGCGAATCATAACGCTACAACGGTTACTGATTCGAAATACGTGATGAACTGGCCTGGATATATTGATGTGACCTGATCTGATTCCAGAACTTAGAGAGATGCCTGCAAGGTTATTAAACGTGACTTTACATCGTGGATTGTGTCTTGGCGAGTATGGAACTCGCTCACTAACAAGAAGGTCCCATGTTCCTCGTGATTGTTTATTCCAGATTCCCCTTGACTTTGAGAGTACGGGTGGCCTGGCACGGGAAAGTGTCTGAATTGTTCGATTGAGACAAAAATTAAGAGCAAGCCCGAGCAAAATTCCCTCATAGCACACTGCATGGCGTGTGTCGGTCTTTATAATTTTGATGGGTGCAGAAAAAAAATAAGACGTTTGATCCCATAGATATTTCATTACTTTATCAAAGGTATTTCGCATTACAACGACGCCCAGGTTTTACGTTTTAACGAATATTCTGTAGATTAGTAAATGATTTGTTACTTTTTAGACATTGTATACCAAGTAGCTAAAGAAAACCAAGCTAAACCAAAACGACCATCCATAGAAAATGTTTTAGATCAAAACCTTCTAGTTAGATCTTCAGTTATAGAACTAATTCATGCATGTTGGGAGGAACTGCCAGAACACAGACCAACAGCTAAAAGAATTCACAAAATGATTAGTCGTATTAACCCATTCAGGTTAGTATTTGTGTGTATACATATCTACATATCAATCGCGTTATCCACTGTATTTTCGCCAGTCGAGATAGACTGGCTTCTTATAATACTTTATCAACTGGATCTACACAGCACAATCCAAATCTTCACCTGTATTTTCCAAACACGTCACATATCAATCGCGTTATCCACTGTATTTTCGCCAATCGAGATAGACTGGCTTCTTATAATACTTTATCAACTGGATCTAGACAGCAGAATCCAAATCTTCACCTGTATTTTCCAAACACGTCATTTATTAAAGATGCTTTATGAAAGATCTAAATTGTCTAATGCCGGTATTTTTGCTGGCTACAAAATATTATTAGACATTTATTCACATGCCAAGCCCATACTCAACTCTCTAGTTCATCGGATCAAACACTCAGATTAAATTAATTCAAGTAGGGGATATACAGAAACAATACAAAATTGCGGAAATGCAATGATGTTTTTATTAGAGGTAACCAGTGTATGTTAATAACAGCCCAATTGCCCACACATGAACATAAACAGTTCATATGGGCGGCTTATCTGAAGGCCCCATTTCACTCACAAAGAGATACACTGTCAAAAGTGAAAATGGAGGTTTTTGATTTTTGTCTTAATAATGAGTAATTTCTCCACCAATCCCCAGACATTCAGCAATTCGTCGTGGCATGCTCCTAATGAACCGTCCAAGCAGGATTTGGGTCAATTTGACCCACTCCTCTTGCAGTGCCTCGGCCAATTATTGCTGCTCGCTGTGTAGAGCCCATTTGAAGCATGCCAATAGCCCGTCGACATTCATCATGTTGAAGACGCCCCATTGCAAATTAAACGTAACACGCTAAACAGTAAATCTTATGCAAGAACCGATAGGAAAGCAAACATGGCGTTGGTGAAGTGTAAAAAGGGTGCATCTAAGAATTTCTAAAGATTAAGAAATAGAACCTTTTGCATTTCAAAATTTCCACAAATCAAGATACACCATTTGGACACATGATATTCAGAACAGTAGAGATACACAGAAATTCAGGGCCCTTATTCACGAAAACTTAAACTAAGATACAATCGAAATTTTAAGAAATACTGCAATTCGATTGGCTGACCAATATGCAAATTGGATATATGCAAATTGATTTTACTGGTCAGCCAATCGAATTGCAGTATTTCTTAAAATTTCGATTGTATCTTAGTTTAAGTTTTTGTGAATAAAGGCCCAAAACAGTAGAGATACGTAGAGATACACAGAAATGTGCATATTAATTGGGAGATTTTAAAAATGCAAAAAAGTGTATTTGACTAGTTTCCCGAGATACACCCTTTTGACACTTCGCCGACGATTGACGGGATAAACCAGCACGCGGCAGTTTTCATCAACCCTTCCTTGAAGTGTCAAATTTGACAATGAACCCTACCCACGTGTATGGCGCTATTGCGTGTCGTATGTGCAGCTCAGTGGTTCTGTTGGGGCGATAAGTTCTTCATCTGTGAACATACTCTCAAAGCATGTCAAGTGTCCATGACTATTTATCATATCACAACCTACATAGGTATTTGCATCTGAATATCCCCGACTTTTTTGAAGAGTATATTACAGTAAATATTTTTAAAGTATTATAGCAAAAACTGTAAGCTCTTTATCTAAATCTTTCATTATGCATTTTAATGCGACGCGCCGATTCAAGACAGTGAAAAGAGACTAGTTTCCTTAGCAACGGGTGCTTGATTTCAAATTACTGACGGTACTGATGGTACTACTTCGAAATGATATGGACGGCAAATCTCTCCACTGGTCAAAAGGAACAGTTCTTACCGTGGTATGATAAAGTAAGAACTTAAAACCGGATCGAAGAAAACCCAACGTATTATTAATAAACGCAAGAAATATGTAATACAGTAATACAGTTCTGGAATATAAATCAGAATACCAGACATGTTGTCTTGCAAATTCGAGTATCAAAGTACTTTAGAGTTTGCAAAGCAGAAAATATATCTAACGTGTAACGGGTGCTATCTACCACATGCACTTGGTACATGGAAAATCTCATTCAAAAGTAGTATTCCTGCAGTCTGTTGCATCCATATTCATATACGGGAAATAATCAAATTCAGTGGCAAATAACCCTTCCGAGAAACAACTTTAATATACCCGCCCCCACCCAATGCTATTTAAACTTCTGCGATATCATCTCCATTCAACAAGCAAATTTTTACTTGCTTATTCTCTAAGGCCGTTTCTACCACGACGTAGTGATGAAAGAATTCCATGGCTTGGGCGAAAAGTCTTCCTTTTTTACCTATTGACAAGTTATTTACACTTATCTCACTTATATGAATATGAACGTTATCGGCTGGACATAGTACTTAGCTGCAGGTTAATACTTTTTTTGAAAGATATTTTCAGTGTTTTATACGACGTGCTATTTTGAATTCCAAAGCTCGTATTGATCTGTTGAATGAAATAGATACATGTTCATAAGATATTTTTTTTGTAGAAAAACTAATGTAATGGACAATATGTTAGCAATGATGGAGAAATACTCCAATAATTTAGAAGAGTTAGTGACGGAAAGGACATTGCAGCTAGAAGCTGAAAAAAGAAAAACCGATGCTTTACTGTATAGAATGCTTCCCAAGTAAGTGTATTATTAAAATCGCGATTTCATCGCTGAGTAAAAATGAAAGTTAAATGTATTTACAGGCAGTTGTGTGAGGAAAGACCAACCAATTTATTTTATACAGATTTTGTGCTGCGGGTTAGTTGATATATATATAGTAACTACCATATTTTGTACTAAGTACTAAGATCATGGGACATTCTGTTTATTTCAGACAAGTTGCTGATGATTTGAAATCGGGCAATGTAGTCCAAGCGGAATCATTTGAATCTGTGACGATTTACTTCTCTGATATCGTTGGGTTCACATCCCTTGCTGCTGAAAGCAGCCCCATGGAGGTTTGTTTAATGGTGTTTATTACTTTATAATTGATTCACTAATAAATTGCATGTAACTAGCTTCAAACAGATGCCCAGTGTACAAGTTGGTGTGCACATAAAAGCATAAAAGAATCCTTGACGTTTGTAATTCGTTGGAGAGTTGTCACAAACGTTTAAGTTCCAATTTATTAGCCCTGCTGGTGCAGAAAAGTAGGACGTTAAACCCCAGTTCATATCGAAGTAGGGTTTCGTATTTAAGTTTCAGTCCGCCGGTAGTTTGGGCGTATGCAGTCGTTGCTCCTGTTCTTCCGACGTCATCAATTGCTCTTAACGCGATAGTGTTTTTGTCTTTTGTCGAATTTAACCAATTTGGTGTGATCAGGACTGTAACTAGCCCAGAACAACGAGGGTGGGGGGGGGCGGTAAGTGTTATCAGGGGGGGGGGGGCGAAACCTTATTACGAGCCGGGGGGGGGGGTGCGATGACTGCAGATCTTGATAGGATGATTCATAACGATTTTAAGCTTTAACCATGAAAAGATTGTTCCAATCGATATTCGACTTACTCCTATTTTATGTTTTGAAGTTACGACCCTTATCATTCTAAAATCGCGATTTCTTGTTAACGCATAGATGCTTGCTTTTTTGACAGATTTTTATACGCCAACCTTCTGGGGCCCTCAGTTCCGGAGTTAGCAACCCCCACCCTTGGCCCCACCCAATTGCCATAGTCCTTGCTAACGCAATAGTAGCTACAGTTTTTAAACGCCCACATTTTCATGTGGACGTATTATGCCGTCGCCCCTGTCCGTCCGTCCACAATTGTTTGTGGGCTCTCTACAGGTCACAATTCTTATCCGATTTTGACGAAACTTGAAATATAGGTTTATCCCCAAAAGATCTCGGCTGCTTTCGATATTGGCATGTATCGGATGAAACTTCATGGATTATGGCCCCTGATTGTACGAAAAATCACGTTTTTGGCTTGTTGACCCTATAGAGGTCACAATTTTTATCCGATTTTGTTGAAACTTGAAATGTAAGTTTATAACCCAAAGATCTCGGTTCCTTTCGATATTCGCGCATATCGTAACTTTCTGAATTATGGCCCCTGATTGTACGAAAAATCGCGTTTTTAGCTTGTGGACCCTATAGAGGTCATAATTTTTATCCGATTTAAAAAAAACGTATTATTATATCACCGTTACATCCTAAAGCCGGCTGAGTTCAAATTCGTGAAAATTGGCCCAAAACTGACAGACAAAATGGCCGCCGTTCGTTCTCAAATAGCGTAAAAATATGGTATACCTATAGAGGTCCCAATTTTGATCCGATTTTGTTGAAGTTTGAAATGTAAGTTTATAACACAAAGATCTCGGTTCCTTTCGATATTTGCGCATATCGAATTGTAATTTCCTGAATTATGGCCATTGATTTTAGGAAAAATCGCTTTCTTTTTAGCGCGTTCTCTATCCATCTCTCGACAATGTGGGCGTATCCTGCCTGGCAGCCGCTGGTTAACAGTTTTATTCAAATGGCGGGGTTTCGATTTCCCGGTTGTACGTGACGAGGAATAGGGTCGCCTGTCCAACCTCGTGGATTTTCTCCGGGTCCTCCTGTTTCCTCCCACTGCTAAAGACCCCTACGCACAAGCGAATGATTGAAATAAAATTGACCCATGTGTTAATCCCGAAATGACCTAGTTTGTGTCGAGTGGACGTTAAACCCCATTTCTCACTCTCTCGTTCTGTTTCAGACTTACCTCCCCTTTGGTGAATATAGACTACAGTTTTAACAGATTTTTTTTTTCAAACTGGGTGCAAAGAGTCGTTGTCACGAAAGGACGAACCCTATCGATTTTCAACACTCCGACCGAATACCTTGTTACTCGATAGAAGCTACAGTTTTTATCGAATTTATATCAAATTTGGTGTGAAGTATTAGGGTAGTGAGAGTAAGGATCCCTATCGATATTACCTCCCCTTTTCCGAATATCATGTTAACCCGATGAAGTCTAAAGCTTTTATTATTGTTTTATTTTTAAATTTGGGCTTACGTGAGGAAGGACGCTATCGTTATTAAACCTTGGGCGACCTTTCGTTCCCCAGTTATTGCCCATTTTCCGAAGGCCTTGTTAACGCGAGAGAGGCTACAGATGTTAATGGATTCGGTGCTGCCGTGTGGGTGTATTTACACACTATCTTTGTTTAATTCCCGCTGTTAACCACATATCAGCCGATTTCAAACATAGACAGATATCCACGTTTTGTTTTAAAACAGTTAGACACAATAAAATCGACAATTAAATTTTTTACTCCGTTTTAAAAGCACGTTGATAGAGTTTACAAAACAGAATTATTTCTTTTTCTTTTCAGATAATAGAATTATTAAATGTTTTGTATAGTTTATTTGATGAAACAATACGACCTTTTGATGTATATAAAGTAGAAACTATTGGTGATGCGTATATGATAGTCAGTGGGTTACCAGTTAGAAATGGTGATAAACACGTGAAAGAAATGTGTGATGTTGCCTTAAGTTTGCTGAAAGCTGTTCTTTCATTTAAAATACCACACAAGACAGAAACACAGCTTAGAATTAGAATCGGTAAGTTATGTCTTAAGTCTTGGTTAAACTCCGCTGTATAAACGTTCCATCAAGAATTACAAACACCATTATAGGTATCGGACTATATTAAGGATATGGCAGTGGGATTTATCGTTTATAAGACTTGCTTGATGTCATACCTGAAGAAATTATGTATCTACCATAAATTGTAATTAAAAAGCTCACAATTCAACGATGTTGCCCTGTATTTGCATATGATGTGGTGATATTAGCATATGATTGTGGGCGATATTTTCGAAAGTACCAATTTCGGTAACCTTAAGCTTCCTCCTAACGAGTTGCTCCTACTAGTTCTGTCGCCGAATCATCGTCCGTCCACCCATATATATATATATATATATATATATATATATATATATATATATATATATATATATATATATATATATATATAGTAGGACAGGGTTCGGATACTTGAAGCAGAGGAAGAACAAGATATGATTTGATATTTTTTATTATAAATCAAACAATGGGTTCTGGAAATGTGACGTGTGTCCTTAATTTCTCAAATGATTGATTTGCCAGAAATACTTACATCAATGATGTACAAGATGTACTCCATAATGTGGCTAGATTATTTGCAGACGACACGGCACTTGGGTGTAGCAAACAGTCAGTTTCAGAGATAGAACAGTCCCTAAACTACGATCTGACAAATCTCAACATTTGGGCGAATAATTGGCTTATAAACTTTAATCCAAACAAAACAAAAGCTATTTTATTTAGCTCCAAAAAAAACAGAAAATTATCCGAGTCTGATATTCGATAATCAAGCACTTGAAGTGGTTAAATGTCACAAACACTTGGGCATTACCCTTTCAAATGACGCCAAATGGACCATCCATATAGAAACTATTATCTCGTCCACCTCAAGATTATTAAATATTTTGCGTAAACTAAAATTCACCTTTAATAGACAAACTCTAAATAATGTATATTTGATATTCATAAGGCCAAAATTGGAATACGCATGTGAAGTGTGGGATGGGTGTAACGTTTCCAATACCGAAAAACATGAAAAGGCACAGCTAGAAGCTGCCAGGATTGTGACTGGACTAACTAAAACTTGTTTTCGTGAAGCGCTTTATTTTGAAACCGGATGGAATAAATTGTCAGACAGACGTACACAAAAGCGACTAACTACATTTTTTCAAATTAAAAATCAGATAAACCCAGCATAATTATATGACATTCTAGAATATTATCAACAAACACCACAAAAATACAATTTAAGAAACATTAGCGAATATAGATATCCTTATTGTAGAACAACATTACACCAAACTTCGTACTTCCCCACAACAATTCGAGATTGGGAATTATTAGAGGACCTCATAAAGCAATCAACCACTCTTAAATCCTTCAAATATCTATACAAACAAAAATTACGTTCCTTAATACATAAAGCGCCAATCTACTACTGTAAAGGTAATAGACATGAAAATATTATTCACACTAGAATACGGCACGGGTGTAGTTCGTTGCAAAATGATTTGTATGAAATAAACGTTGTGAATGATCCCACATGTTCTTGTGGCAAATTTATAGAAAATGCCGAACACTATTTCCTGCAATGTCACTTATATGATGTAATTCGTGCTGAACTATTAAATACATTGTCAAGTTATTCTGTGATAAATATAGATATCCTATTGTGCGGCAATTCAGAATTGTCAATTGAGATGAATACAAACCTTTTCCCTGAAGTTCACAAATATATCAAACTTTCAAAACGATTTAAATAAAAGTTATTGTTAGTAGTTACATCTTAGAATAAATTATTAGCTTTAGCTTTTTGGGTGGATATTAGCTTTTTCAATGTTTTAAATATAATTTTATATTCTCTTTATCACCTCTTCACTTATTTTATATAGAACTTTGCGATATAATTCATCTGACTTTACTTATATTACTTATAAATTATTTATTATTGTATATACTATTTCGCAATCTTGTTTGTATTAAATAATGTCTATCATTTCTATGTATGGAAAGGGCTTTTCTAAGTTTTTGAAACTTGTGCTCAAAATCCTTTTGATATTTGTCAATAAAATATGTTTAAACTAAATACTAAATAGAAATCATGAAATTTATACGACAAAGTCTATTTCTCAAACAACGGAATTAATTAATCCACTGTGGTGAATCGATTCATCGATCATGTACAGCACGTTAACCTACAATTTAAAACGAAATCACCGAATTCTTCCTCACGACTCAAGTAAAAAGGCCGCAATGCCTATATCTCCGGTGTCTGGCAGTAGAATGCAATGTCTAAACTACTAGAACACCATTAAAAACGAAATCACCGAATTCTTCCTCACGAATCAAGTGAAAAAACCGCAATGCCTATATCTCCAGTGTCTGACAGTAGAACGCAATGTCTAACCCTGCTAGAACACCATTAAAAACGAAATCCCCAAATTCTTGACGAATCAAATGACCAAATTCCGATATGGTTAAGAACGTGGATGGATTCAGTGTTCCCCACTGCGAAGCGACAAAAAGATATACTGAGCGCCATGGAAAACGCATCACTTAGTTTTTCGTATAACAAAATGATCCTGTAAACATATCTTATTTATTTTGCTTCTTATTGTGAACAATATTCAAATGGGAACACATCAATAACAACACATTTGTACACTTATAGATGTTTAATCTGTAATCAACGGTACAAAGTCAGAGGGGTCAAAACCAAAAGTACGACACAGATGTCAGTAGCGCGTGTGTCCTCCGCGGGCTCTTACGCACGCTGTGCAGCGACGTCGCATGTAATTAACCAATGTTTGAAAGAAGGCCTGGGACAAACTGTTCCATTCTTGGACAAGAGCAGCTTTTAAAGCAGCAATGGTGTGCATCCGTGGTCTCTGATATAGACGGCGTCCAATCTCATCCCAGACATGTTCTATCGTTATGCGGACGTGCATTATCCTGTTGGAAGTGCTGAAGTTGTGGGTGCGCTCGAAACATCGGAACAACAATTGGTTGCAAGACATCATCACTGTAGGCTACAGCATTAACGCAACCCCTGCAAATGTGTAGGGCGGTCCGGTGATGAAATGTGAAGCCTCCCCACACCATTACACTTCCCCCACCCCATCGATTCGTTTCGAAGACGCAGCAGTCTGCAAGACGTTCCCCAAGACGTCTGCACACACGTTGACGGCCATCAGCGTGATAAAGATGAAAGCGACTCTCATCACTGAAGAGCACACTTTGCCAGTCTACTCTTCTCCATGTCTGGTGTCCTTGAGCCCATATCAAACGTCGCTGACGGTGATGATCCCTGAGGAAAGCTCCAACATAAGGTCGTCGTGCACGGAGTCCTACTTCTCTTAGACGACGTCTTTCGGTGTTGACACTTACTGGTCCTTGTCTTCCAACGACTGCTGCACCTGTTCGAGTCGCTGGGCGGAATCTGTCATGCAGATGAGTGACCCGGATGTAGCGGTCTTGAGCCTGGGTTGTAACGCGTTGTGGACCAGGACGTTGACGGTCACGTATTGATCCAGTAACTCGAACACGTTTCACCAACCTAACAATAGTGGACTGATGAGAATTGAACTGTCTGGCAATAGCACGTGTAGACATGCCAGCCCGGGACATTCCAATGGCTTCATTCCGTTATTTTCAGTAAGTCTGTTTATAGTATTGCACAATATTATACATACAAAACCACCTAGTAATAAAATATTTGGGAAAAAAAGTGATGCGTTTTCCATGGCGCTCAGTATATATATACTCTTCAAAAAAAGTAGGGGATATTGAGAGTATGTTCACAGATGAAGAACTTATCGCCCAACACAACCACTGAGCTGCACATGCGACACGCAATAGCGCCATACACGTGGGAGGGGTTCATTGTCAAATTTGACACTTCAAGGAAGGGTTGATAAAAACTACCGCTTGCTGGTTTATCCTATCCATGTTTGCTTTCCTATCGGTTCTTGCATAAGATTTACTGTTTAGCGTATCTTTACGTTAGTGTGTTACGTTTAATTTGATCGGGAGACGTGTTCGTCGACGTCAACGTCAACGTGGCACTGCAAGAGGAGTGGGTCAAATTGCCCCGAATCGTGATTGGACGGTTGATTAGGAGCATGCCACGATGAATTGCTGAATATCTGAAGATTGGTGGAGCAATTATTCATTATTAAGACAAAAAACCAAAACGTCCATTTTCACTTTTGACAGTGTATCTCTTTGCGAGTGAAATGGGGCCGTCAGATAAGCCGCCCATATGAACTGTTATGTCCATGTGTAGGCAACTGGCCTGTCATGAGCGTACACTGGTTACCTCTAATAAAAACAGCAGTGCATTTCCTCAGTTTTGTATTGTTTCTGAATATCCCCTTGGAAGACTTGACGCTGGTCACTGCCCAAGCCGTTGCCAATCACTTCCAGGTCAATGTTCAGACCAATGTTCGGACCATCTACAGGCTTCAGCAACGCTTTCGGGCCACCAACACCACGGATGATCGCTCCTGAACTGGTAGACCAAGGGTTATCACAAAGCGACAAGACCGCCATGTTGAGCGACAGCACAGTCATGCAGAATCCCTTCACACAGGCAGACAGTGTGAACACACGGAAGACCGATACCGATACAGTGCGCCGACGTCTCACCAGAGAGAACATCCATTGCCGTAGACCTTACCGTGGACCGATCCTCACCATCGACGTGAACGTTTATTGTATATTTGTGACCATATCTCCAACTTTACCTGAGCAATAAGGCTCCTTCCAGAACACAGAATTGAACCCAGGAAATGTTCTCTTAAACGCAACCGGACTTCTGAGATGGTAATGTGTTCTCCATGATTTTCATGTAACTCATGCTGCACGTGGACCGATCCTCACCATTGACGTGAACGTTTATATTTTGTCAAACAACACCAGAACTGGCGACACGGGCGATGGAGAACTGTTCTGTTCACAGATAAGAGTCGGTATTGTGTATCAAATGCAGATGGCGGGACCAGAATATGGCGTCGACGTGGCCAGCGTTATTCTGATCAATGTGTCATGGAGCGAGACTCATGGGGAGGTCCAAGCATAATGGTTAAGGGTGGAATCGGTCTGAATCAGAGAGTGGATCCTGTGGTGTTCCAAAATCTTGGTCTAGGGGGAGGCACTGCTGTAAATGAAGCTCTCGGATCCCACGCCATACCACATGTCGCACGTCATCGAAACAACGTTTTCCAGCATGACAACGCCGTGCCCACACCGCCAGAGTTACTCGGGACTTTCTACGGCAGAACTGTGTCAACGTTATGCACTGGCCAGCCCTTAGACTCGACTTAAAACCCGATTGAACATCTTTGGGATGCAATTCAGAGGAGACTTAATAACGTCATCAATCTCCCGGTCCACTCCATGTACAGACGCTGCGCTACTATTATTGACACTCGCGGTGGACACAAATACTAATGTATAGACTGTACAGACTCTAAAGCGGCCTACACACGCTCAAAACTTTTGACAAAAAAGTTAACGTCAAATTTTTTGACAGGTTTTTTGATCGTCTGTGGGTGATATTGACGCCTAAAAAAGATTGAAATCAAATTTTGATGAAATCAAATTCAGTAGATTTTTTATTTTTGCGCAAACTGAGGTTTGTACAACCTGTTTTGAGTCGTGTGTGGCAACACGTCAAAATTTTGCGCAACATTTCATTCTCCGTCCGGACGCCTTCCCGTGCACATCAACATGTCTCAACAAAAGAAAACAAAGTTCCTACTGGAGGTCATTGATCGCTACAGACAGCTCCCCGCACTTTGGAAAATCAAAACCGATGATTACAGCAACAGAAATAAGAAATCACAAGCGTATGAATCGCTTTTACAAAAATACAGGTAAAGGTACAAGGAAGCAACCAACGGCGATTTGAAAAATAGGATTAATTTCTCTTTTTGCCTTTTCCGGCTCCAAAGCTAGTGCAAGGGCCAAGGCTGTAGGTCCGTCCATGGCGAAAGTTTGGCGTACACTGAATATTGCATCAATAAGTGGCGACAGAGAAGTGTCAAAAAATTTGACATCAACTTTTTTGCCAAAGATTTTGAGCGTGTGTAGGCCGCTTATACCTTCTCGTAATGTCTTAGAATTGTGATGAATTAATCACTAATGTGTCAACATACTGTTCACAAAATTGGTTTTGATCCATTTAGTAAGTCATTTTCTAGAATGATTTGATTAAAGTTCCTGTCTGATTTTAAAATCGTACTGACGTTTTGGGGGCTTTTTTTTGCTGGTTAGTATATGATAAGGTTACCCTACCCAACAAAAGAAAACAAAGTTCCTACTGGAGGTCATTGATCGCTACAGACAGCTCCCCGCACTTTGGAAAATCAAAACCGATGATTACAGCAACAGAAATAAGAAATCACAAGCGTATGAATCGCTTTTACAAAAATACAGGTAAAGGTACAAGGAAGCAACCAACGGCGATTTGAAAAATAGGATTAATTTCTCTTTTTGCCTTTTCCGGCTCCAAAGCTAGTGCAAGGGCCAAGGCTGTAGGTCCGTCCATGGCGAAAGTTTGGCGTACACTGAATATTGCATCAATAAGTGGCGACAGAGAAGTGTCAAAAAATTTGACATCAACTTTTTTGCCAAAAATTTTGAGCGTGTGTAGGCCGCTTATACCTTCTCGTAATGTCTTAGAATTGTGATGAATTAATCACTAATGTGTCAACATACTGTTCACAAAATTTGTTTTGATCCATTTAGTAAGTCATTTTCTAGAATGATTTGATTAAAGTTACTGTCTGATTTTAAAATCGCACTGACGTTTTTGGGGCTTTTTTTGCTGGTTAGTATATGATAAGGTTACCCTACCTAGGGGAGTTGCTAACTGAAACTCCCCCAATGAATGAGACGCATCCAGTTTTATAGTCGACGCATGCACGTACGCGATAGTTGATTGGCTCGCATACGCCAAGCGAGTAGACAAATCGATGAGTTTGGGCGACTGGTTTGAAATTCTTTATGCACATCGGGCGACACTTCCACATATACATATTGTCGCCCAACACTGGGGCATATAATAAGAACCTAACCGGCAAAGGTTTATATAAGCCTCTACGATTTTTTTCTAGGTTTACATACCGGTTATGTGGTTGCTGGTGTTGTTGGATCTACTATGCCTAGATATTGTTTGTTTGGTGATACAGTTAATACTGCATCAAGAATGGAATCTACTGGACAAGGTCAACAGTATAAATATGTTATATACAATTTTCTTTCAATGATTGTTTCTGAATTTCCTTTCTAGACTTATCTTCTCAGGATTCAGAATAAGTTGGCCATGCTGTGATATTGTAATTGAAGATATTCTTCACGGGTTCATTGCCTGACTAAAATATTCTAAAGTAGCACGGTATTATGCCATCTTTCACAGATCAGGATGTAAACATGCGGCAGTTGTAAACAATAGTTTCATGACCACACATTTTACCCACCCTCTCGATATTAAAGGGGAACCATACGCCTAGTTGTATAGGTTTATTTGTGGATACAAATCAGTGTAGAAATTATTAAATGTAGTTAATATTCAATTCAGAAATTTGGAAAGCTCTGTATTACCTTGTTTAGTACAAAATGTTTCCCCCCACGTTATTACTATTACTATGCAAACGGGCAGATATATTATGTTAAAATTTTCAAAGTGAATATCATCTGGTCGTGTATGTTTATATTTCAGCCTTAAAAATACACATTAGTTCAAAAGTGGAAGAAAAGATAAAAGATGACCAAACTTATTTTACTAAACCACGTGGTGAAATTGAAATTAAAGTAAGTAGGAACGTCATAATTCATTGAATCATTGCATGGGATTCACAAATAAACTACCCAAATCGAACTGCTTAATTAAAGGAAAGGAAAGCTCCCGTCGCACCTAGTATTGCAATAATTTCCCCTGTGCAGGTGCAGACACCCTAATAACAAATCATTTCGCCTGATATTGCAAAATTAATACGCCGGCTGTGACGTTATGGGGGTGTAAATTTTAGTCACTGTTTATAAACAAAACCAGACACTATGATAGCTACTCTTCATACACTGCAAATGTGTGACTGTAGTTGAATCCACAAAAAGAATTGTATGCATCGGAAATTATCATGAAAGATGAAATAATATTTGTCATAAGGATAACCGACGCCATGCTTTAATCAAGGTATTACTATGATATATTATAGGGAAAGGGTAAAATGGAGACATTCTGGTTAATAGGAAAAGTTGGAATATATCATGAAATAGAAGAAGATCCTGTCTTAAAACGACTGGGTGTGATCCCAGTGTTATCAGATGCGACTACGTGTGAAATACCATCAGACAATTCGGATGCTCAGTTAGATAGATCGAAACTTAAGTCAGAGAAATCCGAACCCATGTCAAAAGCACACGAACCGGCATCATCAAAATCCGAAGACCAGGCAGAGAAATCTGAGCCACTGTCAAAGGAATCCGAGCCACTGTCACAGGAATCCGAGCCACTGTCACATGAATCCAAGCCCCAGGCTGACGAACCACAACTCCAATCAAAGGATTTTGCGTTCCAGCCAGACGGCATCCCGCTTCAGCCAATGCAATCATATCCCCAATCAGATAATTCCTATCATCAGCCAGATAATTTAGAGAAATAAGCCTTAAAAGATCTCGATAAAATTTCTTACTCAATTTGTCTGTGAGACTGTTAAAAAATCACCAACCAACTCATTATAGAGCTAAATCTGTCTTTAAATATATATATATATATATATATATATATATATAAGACGGCAATTGTTGTTCGGATTAAATATCAACATACATATACTGAGAAAAAAAGCAAGCACTATTGCCACAATAATAAACGAAGTGTCGATTTTCAATCCTTCAGTCGGCTCTCTAAATTATCGGATGACTAAGGTAGTGATCGCGTCGGAGACGGCCGACTGAAGGACTGAAAATCGACACTTCGTTTATTATTGTGGCAATAGTACTTGCTTATTTTTTCTCAGTATATATATGTTGATATTTAATCTGAACAACAATTGCCGTCTTATATATACTCTTCAAAAAAGTAGGGGATATTCAGAAACAATACAATACTGCGGAAATGCACTGATGTTTTTATTAGAGGTAACCAGTGTATGTTAATAACAGGCCAATGGCCTACGCATGAACATAAACAGTTCACATGAGCGGCTTATCTGGCGGCCCTATTTCACTCGCAAAGAGATACACTGTCAAAAGTGAAAATGGAGGTTTTTGATTTTTGTCTTAATAATGAGTAATTGCTCCAACAATCCTCAGACATTTAGCAATTCGTCGTGGCATTATCCTAATGAACCGTCCAATCACGATTTGGGGCAATCTGACCCACTCCTCTTGCAGTGCCACAGCCAATTCTTGCAGTGTTGTCGGTTGACGTTGACGTTGACGTCGAGGAACACGTCTCCTGATCATGTCCCAGACATGCTCTATTGGGGAAATTAAACGTAACACACTAAAGCAAAGATACGATAAACAGTAAATATTATGCCAGAACCGATATGAAAGCAAACATGGATAGGATAAACCAGCAAGCGGCAGTTTTCATCAACCCTTCCTTGAAATGTCAAATTTGACAACGAACCCCGCCCACGTTTATGGCGCTATTGCGTTTCGCATGTGCAGCTCAGTGGTTCTGTTGGGGCGATAAGTTCTTCATCTGTTAACTTTCTCTCAAAGCATGTCAAGTGTCCATGACTATTTATCATATCACAACTTGCATAGGTGTTTGCATTTCAATATCCCTTACTTTTTTTGAAGAGTATATAATAAGGTTTTACTTTTAATTTTTGACTTTGATATATTTGCCTATATTTATACAATTGTTCAATTGGATTGTAAAGAACTGTATATCACTTATTATACATCCATATTATACACTGACAATCAGTCAGTATTTTGTGAAATTACTGTCACTATGAAACTGTTTAAATAATCTAGATGTAATTTTAGTTGTAACATGGACGGGAAATCTTCCTTTGTTCTGATCGTTGAATAAGCAGATTGTTTTCCTCTAGTAGATTGGGTGGAGCTTAACCGTGCAATAAATAGACATGTTCAATGTTATTTCACACCTTTGCTGGTTTACACCAGTTTTAGTAGCAATCATATAAAAAAGTGGGGTGGGTTTTCTGTGCAATAACAACAAGCATGTTGAGCAGGTGTCAATGTTGCAAGTCATTTATAGCTCGCTTCATTCGATACGGTCTCTGGTTAAACCTGTTAACTCATGAAAGCTGTGCTATAAATATAGCTGGGCTATAAAATAAAGAAACACAGTAACAGTTCAGTTTCACAATCTACATGTATAAGTGTTTATTATTAAAAAGTTTAGGATATTTTTTGTTCACGCGTAGTGATTGTTTCTAACGGTGACCCTATTGCCCTTGTTCATTTCATTTTCATAAACATGTGTGAGCCTTTTTGTCTTCTGATTTAGATTCAAACTTTTTAAAACATTCGCGTCCTATATTTTTATTATACCAAATTTATTCCGGGCCCCACCACACCTCATCCAGATTTTCCGGCGTGGTTCCCCCGTGTCAGTGATGCAGGATGGAGGGCCTGACAAGGACAGCTGTCTTGTCTTTCGGGTGGGGCGAAAAACCGAGGTCCCGCGTATACACTGGCGTGCACGTAAAAGATCCCTTGACAGTTAGCATTCGATATAAGAGTAGGCCGTAGTGCCGCTCGAAGTGCCACTGTCCGGGCAAAATTTCCCTCATATGCCCGTCTTCATTAGTCCATTCGGAGCAGAACGGTGGGCGTTAAACCCTATTTCATTTCACTTCCAATGCTAATTTCGTTTCCAATGCCAATGAATAATCCATTTAAAGCGCTTTTGAATTCCAACAACCATTTGCTGCTAAGATTGTACAGCTCGAGAAACTGTCTTTTACTCTTATTAAAATAATTTTAAAAGTACAATACATCATGCCATTCAATATGTAAGCATTATTATCATTTACTGTGCTTATATTGAAGTATAACGTCAGTTTTAATAAACCATTCCAAAAAACAATTACATTTAGTGGTTATTTTGTATTGTTATTTTGATATCAACCCCCCACCCCCACCCATACTTTCATTTTTGTCATGTTATTTGTATTTAAGTAGAGTTATTTCCATCGAATTCAGGTGTCTCTTTTTACGTCGTGGACAAGTAATTATTTAATGTTAATATCAAATAATTATTTAATGTAAATATCAAATAATTATTTAATGTAAATATCAAATAATTATTTAATGTAAATATCAAATAATTATTTAATGTAAATATCAAATAATTATTTAATGTAAACATCAAATAATTATGTAATGTAAATGTAAATATCAAATAATTATTTAATGTAAATATCAAACTCAGTCACTGTGTCATGTCATCAGGTAATATCGCGTCATGTCACGACAACAAGGAAGATATACAATATCGAGTATAGTCACGTCAAATACCTTGCCATTTTCAACTCTGCGATATCACTTTCGTGGAAGCAGACTTAAAGAACTAAGGTAGTAGCCATTTTCAACTCTTAATATAGCCAGATTTTATGTTGTTAATTGAGGTCAGGGCCATCATATATTAAAAGATCGAAGGTGACCCGATAGTAGGTTAATATTGTCTTTAGAACTCGAAACATTTTAAACTGGAACCTAAAGTAAATAAAATAGAAATTCAAAAATCGACTACCTGAGGATTGTTGCCAAATAGAAACACAGACAGAACTAATACTACCACGTCATTTTTATGGAGAAAACTGTAAGTGTTAGAGAAAAGTCGAGAGGCCTGGGAAATTTCTGGGCGTTAGCAAAAGAATTCACAAAAAAATTCAATTTGCCATTTTGGGGTATTTGTCTTGACTTCGAATGACTGTCGCGATTTTTACATTGGAGAAACGGGCACTCATCTACGGGATAAAGTACGCAACCATCGACGGGATTGTAACACCTTGTCAATAGAACGATATTAATTAATAATTAGTAACGTCTCACAGTATCAACGATGTAACGGCAAAACACGGGATTGAAACATTAATCGAATGTTTTAAAACAACGTTTGTCAATGAACATTAAAAAGACATCCGAAATAACATCAGGTCATTGTGAATTACAGGAAAAAGATGTAACATGGAAATATAACGTTTTACGAACTTTATCGGGGGTCATTTTTTTGTTTAATTCCAACGTTGTTAGATTAGGAAACAGAACGTTTTAAAAAACAGAATCCAATATAACCAATATTACGTTACCCAAAAAAATATTTTAATAAAGTTCATACAATCATAAATTAAAACGCTACAAAAGTTACGTTAGAAGCAAGCAAATATATTAATAATGTTCAAAGAATCATAAGATAAAATGCTACAAAAGTTACGTTAGAAGAACATAGTTTACTGGCGTTTACAGGTTGTCTGACCAGTCTTAGGAAATAACGTTGAATCACGTGGTTCATTTGACGTTCTTGGAACAACTAATCCGAACGTTTCTAAAGTAAAAGTCACTCGAAAGACAATAATTAATGCTTAGTAACGTCTCACAGTATCAAAAAATATAACGTAAAAAAGGGTGTTGAAACATTAATCTAATGTTTTAATGTAACGTTTGATAATGATGTAAGAAGGAAAATGGAAATACGTTTGTAAATGAAAACGTCACTAGAACGATATTAAAAAATGTTTAGTAACGTCTCACAGTATCAACGATATAACGTCAAAAAAAACGGAGTTGAAACATCAATCTAATGTTTTAATGCATCGTTAGTTTTCCGAACTTTATTGGAAGGTTGTTTATTGGGGGTTTTTTTTCGTTTAATTTCAACGTTTTTAGATTAGGAAATTTAATATAATCAATATAACGTCACAAGCAAATATATTAATAACGTTCAAAGAATCATAAGCTAAAACACTACGAAAAGTTCTTTAGACGAAGATAGTTTACTGACGTCTACAGGTTGTCTGACCAGGCTTAGAAATAACGTTGAATCAGACGGTTCATTTGAAATTCTTGGAACAGTCACTAGAACGATAATATACTCTTCAAAAAAAAAGTAGAGGATATTGAAATGCAAATACCTATGCAGGATGTGATATGATAAATAGTCATGGACACTAGACATGCGTTGATAGTATGTTCACAGATGAAGAACGTATCGCCCCAACAGAACCACTGAGCTGCACACGCGACACGCAATAGCGCCATACACGTGGGAGGGGTTCATTGTCAAATTTGACACTACAAGGAAGGGTTGATGAAAACTGGTTATGGTTATCGTGGTATGTAGCAGTGACGTTAGGAAATAGTGTTGGAAAACATTTGGCTTCATTAGTTTCATCAGTTAATATTCTAAACATTTGGCTTCATTAGTTTCATCAGTTAATATTCTAACAGGATTAGTACCTTCAGCGGGAGAAATAGAAAATATACTATCAAAATGATTATCTAATGTTTCACTTACAATGTCAAGAGGTTGTAAACATGTAGCTAATTCTGGGCCATTTGATTTATCTTCTTTTTCATCTGTGTCATCGTCTTTTACATCTATGTCAGGTAACTCGTCTTTTTCATAATCTGAATTGTTTGAAGCCAACCCTTCTAAAACAGAGTCATCTCCCTCTAACATCTCATCTATGCCTGAAATATCAACCCATTCATCATTAAATTCTATATCTAAATATTATTTATTATTATGTTTAAGATAATGTAA